GTAGTTTTGATAAACGACGGCGTCGTAATTTCAGGAAAAATATAAATCATATAATACTACATAATATAATACAGTTATAATTTGGTATATATTTTATTCATTGTATGGTTTATTATTAATATTATCGATATTAATATTTGGAATTTGTATTTTTGTGTAGCTGAAAAGTGGCATTCAAAATATATGTATGGTTGATGGAGAGTGGTGTGAGGGGCAAAGCCTCCACGAGTTCGTTTGAAATAATGCACGTAGAACGCAGTTTATAAATCGTTAGTCTGAGCTCCTCTACTTAATTTTTCCCAATTCGAACACTGGTCAAAAGGTGTACTTAGTTGTACACAAATGCGAATAACACGCTTACATAAGTTCTCATGTATGGTAATGTAATGATATGAGATTCATAAGTGTGTGAGTCAATAGTTTATTGAATATAATGCTTTATGTAGGTAGGTATTTAATACTTTATTGGTGGAGTGAATTTTTCAAAATTTATCACAATATTCAGTATCAAAATTATTGCACATTTAACATTGTAAATACGTATATTGACATACTAATTTTTTTAGTTGGTCAAGGTTGAAAATAATTTATATTACCCCATGCTTAGGATTTCATAACGGGGTTGAAATAAAACCGAACAAAACATTACCGATAATGAATAAATCATGATATGAGTTTTTTTTTTTTTACCATGTTTATATGCGTTTTTTTCCGGAGGACCTAAGAATAATAATGCTTGTGTTGGACGTAGATAATAAAACTAAACTATCTGCATAAACTAAAAATAGCTAGTATACGTTATAAAATATCATAAACTATCATACTTCGTAGTTGTGATTTTTTGATTTATAACGACTACTATTTAATGTATTACTCTACTACTTTATTTAAAATCCAATAATACAATAGACTGGTAATTTTAAATTTAATGGACAACAATAAATATACCTTTATTTATAATCTATAAATGTATAACATTAGTTACACAACAGTTTAATGAACAAATAATGTTTATTTTTATTTAATTCAATGGTCCTGTATTAGAAAATATCAGATGTGATTTGAACCTATCAGGTATTTTTAAATATTTATGACGAAAAATGAGTAATACATCGTCAAACAGAGGATTTTTAACTGTAGGCTCTCGAGATTATTAGAAATTTAAAGGTGTGTGTTGAATATATATAAAATGAAAAACATATATAAATAGGAATGCTATTAACGGTTTTGGTGTTAAATAGTTTATCTGTAGTGCTTTATAGTATGTACTTGAATCATACTTATACGACCAAACAGGCTTAGAATAGTTCAGCCGTTCGTTGTTATTCATGAAACATTTTAAACGAATAAATGGTAGATAGATATAAAATAATATGCAACATATGGTGGTTGTTAGCAGATTTGGTCTTTGCGGAATGTGATATTCACAACATTTTAACTCTATATAATCAAAATCGTTATATTCGTATAAATAATTTCTGAAAATTTTCTTTGATACTAAATTGGAACAACATAATTATTTAATTTTATCAGGAATGGTAGATGAAGTCGTAAAAATAATGCGATAAATGATGATTTCAATTCATCAATTTTCATCATACATAATTTAGTGTGGAGTTAAGTAACATCGAATTAGATGCATTTATTATTTTATCAAACGTCCATCAAATATTATAAATAAACCAATACATCGTACTTTGAATGCAATGATTTCAAATAAAAAATAAATAATAATTATCCAACAATAACATTTAACACTGAGACGAGCGAAACGATACATATACCAATATGTATGTACTTCTATATAAATTGTGCATTATTTATTTTTTATTCCTGATCTTTTTCAAATTTTATTTAATCTTTTTTTTTTTTTACTACCTGTATATTTATATGATTAAATATTATGTCGCATGCAACCTTGCATTGTTAGTGGTTTTTTTTAATTATAGAGACTATTTATTTATTTTATACAAATAAACTAGTTGAAATTTTAATTAATTCGTAGGAAATATTTTTGTTTACCAATATAATTTTTCAAAACCAACTTGTGACAGTAAAAATAATAATTTATTGCATTTTAATTTAATTTTTCTAGTCTCTTTAAAACATATATCTTAAAACACGCAAAACTAAAAATTGTTTTACTGGTTTATATAGCAATTTTTTCGGAGTTCTATGGGACCTGAAATCCTATCATAGAGCAGCTTATGCCATCAATGTTGTTACTAAAAATTATTGTGAGCCTACAGATTTTGTGATTTAATTCATTGGTTCTCTCTCCCTCCTCCACTTTACAATAAAATAATTATTAAGAATTATTATTGTATAATATCACAGAATAAAATATAATTTATTGATATATGTTTATACACGTTGATAAGAGTAATTCATCTGATCGATTTGTATACCTAAAAATTAAACAAAGTGTTTTCTAAGATTTACCAAAAATTACTTTTAAAGCTGTTTTTAGTTTATTACATTTTTTTACATTTGAATAAAACAAACAATAAAAGGTTAAAAAAAGTACTGAAAAAGCGTCCTTTCACGACAAGTAATAGTAACACAACAAACCCTTAAAAGATATATGCTGGATTTATGGTATTGCAATTTCAACGGATAGAAACTATACAATGTTCTTTAAAAACCATCCCCTTCAAAAAGGCGACACATAAATTTCAACATCCTATGACGATAAAAATCTTCATGTGTAGTAGAGATGTTTGTTTAATATTTTACTTTATTTTTTGCTTAACTGAAATAATTGTTTCATTTGATTTTATTTTTATTTATGTAATCATTTTCAAATCGAATATAAGTAACTTTACAATGAAATGAGAATTAAGATATTTTATCGACAAAATTACAAATAGTGGATACGCATATAATATACGTATATAAATATATATATATAATAACATATAGTATTGTTAATACTATATAATTATTAAACATACCATCAATATACATACATCAATATCAATACATTTCAGTAGGTTAGGTTTATGAAATAATTATCCATTAATAATATTTTTATCGTCTAAATCGATAATATACACAGTGCATAAAAATATATTCTTACAATTATGCCAAATTTTTGATTTCTATACGCAATTCATGTGAGTTGCAATTGATCAAAAATATAAAGTAATATTATATTTCTTAATAAAATTCATCTCATTAATATTGGAATTTTAAAACGTTAAATCCATATATGGAACACATAATGTTAATTATAACACAGTAAACTATCTATTATCTAAACGAAAAATGATACAAAAAATTTAATTAAAATAACAATATACTCAACCTTAATGTTTTAAAAAAAAATAGAATATTATTTTGTATGTAATCAACAATGGTATTTTTGATCATAGTGAGAACGAACACTTAGCATTTAATCAAGTTGATAAAAGTAAATGAAAATAAATAATAACATAATCATTAAAAAAGTTAATATTATAGTAACCTGAAATTGTATTGAACAACAGTCAAAGATGGTCGCATAAATATATCAAAGGAATAGCATTCGATTTTTTTGATTTTACGTTATTTTACTTAATTTCCCTCATAAAAGTTTTTCAAATAAATAAGTTAAGAAATAAACAAAAATGAAATCTTATTCTTCATGAAAATCGGGTACCGTGGAAATTACAAAACAATTCTTAAACTAAATATATTTAATATTTGCAATTTAGTTAGTAAGTATTTATAGCTATACAATTATAATACAAGAGAAAGTTATTCTTTTGACATTAATCACTAATATTTTGGTTATTGTATGTATTTTTGAAAAACTATTATTTATATAATTAAAATATATAATCATAACACAGTATTTATTAAAATAATTTAATTAAAATTTTTTTTATTGGCCGCCATAATTGTATACTTCTATTGAATTAAAAATGTTAAATTTTTGATTCTATAACTTAAAATTGATGAGTGAACTTTGCTTCTATTCACCCATTCGTAAAGTCTCACAGTCACTGTCGTAAATTATATTACCTTTACTATGATTATTCTACACTTCAAGAACAGGTGGTATAATTTAATATTTATTTAAATAAGAAATTTCGTATATATTTTTTTTTGTTCCTTTTCGGTCGGCTTAACTTCAAATTGGTACTTATCCAAAATTAATTATGCAGATACCATTTGTAGATATGTATCAATATTTCGCAATAGAATACTAAATATTACGTTGTCATGGTGTAAAAAATACAAATTACGATAAAAAAAGTTGCAAAACGCAATTATTTTTTCTTCAACAAAAATATTGTGTGGGTATGACATGTAATAATGTAGAATTATTTTTTTTAACATATTTGAACGAAAAAAATGAGGGTTTCACGTTCAAAAAACACCTTGTAAATTGCTTATATAGCCTGTATCATGGCAATTTCTTTTTAAATTATTTATTGTTTAAATAACTGTAAATATAAGATATATTTACCACAAAACGTAGGGTTGAAATTATTACGTTGAGTAATTGCGGGACACAAAAATATAAAACATCTCGTTGAGTAAAGCTATAAAGTTAGGAAAAAAAATATCAGAGTTTGTATGATAATAATTGCTGTCGTTCCATTACTATAGTGATTTCGACTTTTTCCTTTTGTCTTCCGTATGCTATTCTCTCACGTACAACACATTTGATGTGTATTACATTTATATAACCTTCCTCAATGGAATATTAAGAATAATTTAGGAAATATATGACATGACCTATAAATTTAATAGTTAGTAAAAAGTTCGCAATGAGATTATTTCGACCCCTTCCATCCGAAAACTGTTTCCTGTTTTTTTCACTGAATTGTATTATATTTAACACCTCAATTTTCAATAAACCTCAAACAAAATTATAACCATTTATACGTGGTACGTCTTTTCTCGGAAAACAAGTGAAAATGATCATTGCCTTCGTCTAGAAAAAAAACTAAACTAACTTAATCGTTAATTAAATTTATATAGTATTATGTAGTTGGTTTCACGTGTTACAGGCGATCCAGTTGAACCATAGAAAAGAACCTGCAGTGATCATACTCAATGACGACAACATGTTGTTAGATGACAAAATGTTGTGTTCATCATCACCAAAACTGTATCCATTTGCCATAGTTCTCAGACTTCGTGTACTGCAGGTAAGACGCACTGAAGTTTTCAATATGGGACAGCTGTTTGTAAATATTTTCATTATCAAACCATGGTAAAAGTATATAGTTCAACAAAAATGTGATCAATTTTTAAAATACACATATGTACTCCGTTTGTACACTAACGCCTTCATACGTTAAATATAAAATAATTATAGACACTATCCATTGAGGATGTTTACGTTTAATCTTTGAGTATGCTAAAATGATAAAACGAGTTTAATACAGTATCATATAAACATAAAAAAATTATAAACTAGTAAAATGTAGTTTTCATAAAAACCGAATTAACTGTAAATTAACATTTTAAATGAAATTTGAATAAAAGATAATTAACATATTAATAAAACATGAAACACGTCTGTATAATTTCTTATTTAGGGATTTATTGAACCCTATAAATAGAACGATATATATTGTTAGTCAAAATATTTTGTCATTTTATTGCTTCGTATGAGTTATAAAAGGTTTCATATGTGGATAACATAACAATATATTTTAAATAAATAAGTAAACGACATGAGGAAATCACTGGATCGCATTGCAGTTGAATTTGAATTCAAAAAATTCAATATTTTTATATTATTTTAAAATATAAAAATACTGTTGCTTCATTTAATTGAAGTGGTGAAATATTTCCCCCAAGAGGAACGTCAGAGATTATGTAAGATGTCAAATACATGATGACAAATGATGGGATCGTCGTATTATGGACGTATAAACCCGATAATCCTTTAGCGCTAAGGTATTTATCTCCCTCGTTACCATAGGCATTTAAACACGAATTTTTATGAACAATTTACCTAAAACGGCTTGAAATACTTGCATTATTTTTACTGATTATTCATTGTTATAAAACAACAAGCAGCATAGTTGTGATCATTTAATTTTACCGGGAATAATGGTTAAAAAATGTCATGTACCTAAAATATGTCAACTACCTAAAAAAATAATTTGAATAATTTGAATATTTATACATAATGTTTTAAAATATTACTTTATAAATGAATCGCAAAATACTGTAAATCTACAGTATTTATACTATATATGTTAAATATAAGCAGTAATGGTCCTTGCCAATTTTATTGAGAATATATTACACCAACGAGTGTCTGAATATAGATATTTTTATGATTTAGTCGATAAGGGTGGTGGTGACTAAAATATTACTAAAACATTAAAATGCATAAATTTTACGGAAATAGAAATTAAAATTATTTGAATAAATTAATACCGTCATAAATACATAGTATACCTTCAATAATTACTTCAAAGTAATACACTAATCATTTAAGGGAAACCTAAATGTCTATTATAAAACAATTCTAAAATTAAAACCTTTAAATCTAATTACATTTAATACTTCTCCACAAAGTGCTCGAGACTTAAGAGTTAATGCAGTACAGTGGCGTATATAGGGGAGGCATAGTGGGCTACAGCCCCCCCAAAATATTTTAAAAAACTTAAAAATTATTTTAAACTTATGTTATATTTTAATGGTGCTTTATGCTTATTCAGAATTCGCATTCAACGTCAAATCGTTTTGGGACATTCTGTAAATTAAATATAGATAAGTACCTATTGTGTCTTATTAGTAATTCTTAGATAGCAGTGGTAATTTAATTAATTAATTTCTGTTCATAGTAGCCCCTCCCGAAAATATTTTCTGTATACGCCACTGATGTAGTATACTCATGCATTTTCAAAATAATGTTGAGAGTATACGGTGTATGTATAGGATAACCTATGGGAACACATGTTATATAAATAACAATAATATCTATAAATACATTTTTTTTTACAACTGAACATGGTCAGTATATTTATGAACTCTGTCATATTGGTTCAAATCCAACAATTTTAATTTTATTTAGCTTAATATTAAAAACTAACATAAAAGAAGACCAAGTGATATTAGTATTGATAAATATATATAAAATATGATTTGATTTCAAATTAGCATGAATATTGTAAATATAAGCAAATATAATATTCTGTTGGTTATGACGTATTAATTACTGATAATTTATATACAATAAATAAAAATAAAAAATAAATTTAACACATTTTAATAGCTTCTTTGAATACATGTTAGAATTATAATCTTAATATTAAATTCTAAAACTTCCTAGAGTTCACTAATATTCAATCTTCTTTAGATTTCATTATTTTACTAAAACATCTAACACATATTACTAGCATAAGCACTTAACATTTTGTATAGGGTTTCAAATGAGGGATGCGATTATACACCAGTTGAAAACGTGAAAATAATTAATGTGTATACAGGTACACGGTATAAGTTGTCGGTCGTGTGGAAAGCTTTCACAAAGCTTTTGAAATATTATCTTAAGGGTAATTTTTAGTTAAACCATTCTACAATTTTCATTAAATGTTATATTTATTCTTTGAAACCCCATATTATAATATGATAAATAAAAATGTAAATCTTAATAAAAACATAATTCTGTCTAAAATAGGCTGTTCATTATAATCTTGATGCTATTAAAATAATGATTATGTACAGTTATTACTAATACTGACATTCGAAATAATGAATATTCAATATATATTAATATTGAGTACGTAATAGATAACTGAAAAATATTTTTTCTTTTAAAAAATAAAGACAAAAATAAATATTATTTTGTAGTGGTCAATACTTGAAAAATAATGCCAAAGTATTTTTAAGTACATTAATAATTTATTAAAAACTATTCAATATTTCTAATCATAGCAATATATGTAAACAAATAAAATGAAAAATAAATAAATGTTATGTGAAATATACATGAAAATGTAAAATTTGTTTGGATTTAAAAATCTATCATAAAGTAAAAAACCACATTTAATATTTTTTTGTGTTCAATTTCTATTCCACGCAATATTTACAATAGAAACTCAAAATGCATATTGAATATTCAACTGGAATTCACGTAAATCGACATAAAAATGATGAACCACAAGAAGTCAAACATCAATGTTGCGTGGTAGGATTTTATAACATCATAATGATACATGAAAATGTTTTCACCAAGACAGCGATGTCATTCATGCATCAACAGTAACCTCATAAAAAGATTCAAATTATTGCATAAAACCATACTCCCATAAAAATAATATTATTGTTACGTTTTTTTACATTGACGTAAAAGTATAAGAGTGTCAAATTTGACCTCTACTTTATTGAAAATCATATTTCAGTGATTTCTAATTTTCTATGAAATTCCTTACATTTTGTTTAAGTACATAAAGTCCATACCTTTTTTGATACTTTATATCATAAGATCGTTGGTTATATAGTAAATATAGTATTTTGTAAATAATCTAATTTAATTTAGAGTAAATCTTAGAAAAAAAAAGAAATTTTTCATTATCTTCTACTTTAAAAGCACATAAAACTATTAAATTTAAATTATATTTTCCCTTTATTTTAAGTAAATATATTAACTCAACGATAAAATTATAAAAAAATTATTGTATGTACGTCAAAAAGTAATAATTTGAGAGGAAGAAAACCATTCTAAAGAAAATTTAATATTGAATATTCGAAAAATATACCTTTTTAAATGTAGTTTAAATTTATAGAGTGATATATGTAAACCTTTCATAACACTGATTTACATATGGATGAAAACTTCATTTTTTTTTTATGAAATACGCTTAACACTATGTGTACCTCTATATTACACAATAATTTATGAGCACACGAAATTATTAAAAAAATTGAGATATTATTATACACTGTAAAACCACCATTTGACCAATCAATATTTTATGTCACAGTTCACACAGCTCATATATTCTTGTTCACGAGTGTTTAGTGATGATATTAAAAATAATATTATTTTGAAGGGTACCTATATTTACATTAAAAAATAGTGATTACATTTTACGCAGGAATACAATCTAATAGTTCTTGATAAGTATAATAAACAAAAATTTTTAGTTTAAAATAGATTATAACGATTGCTAAGATATTAAAAAATAACAAACATATTACAGTCAAACTTTTAAGTTTATTTTTTTAATTTTTTTATTTAACTGAACCACTCTTGATTAACATTCTTCGATATTTTCGTTCGTAGACATCGTATATTTATGTTATAAATTATAATTCTAGTTAACAGAGTAAACGATTTTGTCTAGTAAAATTGTAATCCTGGTTTAAACTTGTTGTTTTTCATTAAATAGTTACTACTAATAAAAATAAGTAGATAGAAAAATGTTTTTCACGCCATACACACAAGTGTATTAGTAAATAATATCAATTTGTTTTACCATACAGGAACGAAATAAATGAAAAATTAACAAAAATCAACCGCATGCTATGGAAATATAGAATAATTCATGAACAACCTTCCCCCCTCCCCCGTTAACTACATTAACATTTATATTGTGACTTAAATATCATGTACCCTCGCAATGTTTGTGATGGACTAAATTGCTTTTTAATATTTCATGTTCTATATACTCAACTGCGTATGTATATGTTTGATTTATAACTGAAGTACAAATGGCTGTACGGCATTGACTACCAAAAAAACAATCTCACGCATAATCACCTAATTTAACGTAATACAACCGAGCCAATCGTAAATATAAAACTACTTCCACCCCATATTATACGTGTAATCAAATGTTTTCGTTACGTTTTCGTAACGGAATATTTATAATAATTAAATAGAATAAGAATTAATTTATTTTCTTCTTTATTTTCAGATAGTCTGTGGTATTACAGGATTAGTTATGGGCATGGTCGCCACCATTGAAGAAAAAGGAAAAATGAATTTAGGTTTAGCGATTCCAGCTGGAATACTAACAGTTATAGCTGCAGGTACGTAAAATATACGTTATTTCACAGGAATGGTCAAATAATCAATATAATATACTGTATATGAGAATATTTCGTAGTAATGCGTATAAGACCAGCTGTGGTATAATATGTATATCGACAAAGATAATTTTAAGGTGGTTGAACTGATAAACACGCCCTTGAAAAAATCACATTTAAAATAAACAATGACAATGAATAACTATTGATTACGATTTAAAATTTTTTCTTTAATCAATCATCGTAGTATAGTATTTGATTTGAAATGTATGTAAAACTGCTTCGTACTATTGATTAGGTTAGATTGTTATTTTGATTTAATTAATAAAATATATGAATAGTTTAAGCAATATTGATCAATATTTTTAAAAAGCAATTAAAAATTTATTATCTTGCACTATATTCATATCATATTATATACATTTATGTATAATAACAAAAAATGTAAAATTATTTTACTTTTTTACGCAAAATTCTAAATTTGAAAACAACTTAAACGCTTCAGTAAAAATAATTAAACACGAAATTATAAATACTACGATTTATTGCTTTCAAATATGTAAATATTATTAACAACAATTCTTTTAGAAAGTACAGACAATATATAAATATTCGATTTATCGGCAACCTTTTTTCACTTCTTTATTAATGATTAATAAATTAAATAATTGTATTTTATTGATTACGAGGGAAAAATCTTTTAATAATAATAAAAATTAAACCGGTCGTTAACTGACTACAACAATTATTTTATATTCAATAATAAGAGTTAAAATAATATATATTATGCATTATAATATATATGCAATGCTAATATAAGTACGGTCAATATTTTTAAACAACAAAATAGTTTCTTTAACTTTTTTTTGAATTGACTAATTGAATAGAACAGACACTGAGATCTTTTGAATTGTCGTCCGCCGTGAACATAGATTAGAAATTGAGGACGATGAATTCCGAAAAATACCGAAAAAATTGCATCGTTGAATGAATACATATAAAGCTGTAATCGGCAGGTTTTGAGCAACTTTGTATGAACCTGAAGGTGGTATAGAAGTTTTGGCTTTTTTCACGAGATTTGTATTTCATGAGTCCAAAGAGTTTTAACAGTTATTTATATTATATTGATTTAGCGCACATGAAAAATTGTTAATTTAATTTATTTATCAATATATTTATAAACTATTTCGTATTATAAATATACACTGATTTAAATATATATCTTTATGGGATCGTTTTTTTTTTTTTTTTTTGATAGTCAATTTATTATTTATTTTTATAATATTTTATTATAACTAGAGGTAGACATTTATAAAATATTCTTATTTCCATCGTAATTTTTCGATTCAATTTCGATAAATTTGTGAACTCGAAAATGCTTTACCTAATTGGTTTTTCTGACATAGTTTATAAATTATCATGAGATATCTTTCAAACAAAAAATATACTGAATTTTTTTCTAGAATACATATTAAGTTTCATTTGAGTAAAAATATATGAACTAGGTATATTTTTAAAATAATGTTAGCTATATAAATATAGCATACCTATTATGATATTATGAATAAATAAATAAGTCGCTTTTTGTAATTCCAAAGAATGAAATAACAAAATGTTTTTTCTTCCGAATCGATATATTTGATAAAACTTAGTGTTTTAGTAACTTGGTAATATAAAAAAATGCTTTGTAAAAAATTATTTTGAAACAGCATATATAGCATACAGAAACAGTAGACAAATTATTGTAAAAGCAAGTCGTATGATTAGCATTTGTCTAATTCGTCGATACCCAATACTTAAAACTACATTTATGGGAAAGTAAAACATCAAATAACTGAAAAAAATAAATTTTTTTCATTTTAAATAAAAATAACAATTAATAAGTGTATTTTAATCGAATAGAAATAAGATATGAACTAAAAACAATAATTCAACGAAATAATTCTTACTGTACAATAAAATCAAATAATAAGGGAACAAATAAGTTTCTTTTAAATATCTGATGGTAGAACTTGAATACTATATTGTTTTTGGTACCTAAATCCTTTTATAAAAAGAGATATGACGCATTGTTGTTTTAAATTTTAAACTATATTGTTGCATATTATCACATGCATAAATAATATTATTACGTGGGCGCCCAAGAATCGGGCCACAATTAACCTTTTTTCAGAAAGGTATACAGTAATTGGGCAACTATTTTCAACTATTTTTTATTATTGTATACGGTAATTGGGTCACTATTAAATTAATATGTCATATATAAATATTGCTACAATACCTAACAGTGCACATGAAAATTTAATCGAAGCGACCGTGTGTCTCATTAAAACGTAATGAAATGTAATGAATTATCAGGAGCTGCCATAGTCTCATCAAATTAAATTAATAAAAATAGCTAAAAGTGCAATTTACAAAGATTGTAGAACTTAGCGATCATTTAGTTGATTGAAAACTATACGATCCACGTTTAGTAATATATGCTAGTTCGGTAATATATGAGTATAATGGAATTATTGGAATTTATAACGACGGAGACAGAAAAAAGATTATTAATTTTTAATAATTATAAATCATGAGAGTCAATGTGGCAAAATTTGTTGGCGATGTTTTTTATACTATTATATTATTAGTATTATACTTTTTATATTATATTAAATTTGTGAATTCTCAGTATGACATTATTAAAAAAAAATTATTGTATTTTATGCATTATAAAAATAATTATTAGTTAATAAACGTTGTATATTCGTAAATTTTTATGGTGTTCATTTATGGCCCAATCTCCGGGTACACTTTAAAAATATAGACTTAATTTGTGGCCCAATCTCCGGGTAGTAAAATGTAAACAAATATTTTATACGAAGCAGGTACAAAAAATGTGGCCCAATTACCGACCGCCCTTATTACGTAACTTAGATCAATACAACATCAAGATTTTTAGTAATATTTATACTAAAATTACCAGTTACTATTAAAAGTACAGCGAGCTTGGGCATAGGAAGATATTTTTATGGACTGTGAAAATAGATTACATTTGTAAATTTTAGAGCACATTCGTTTTATATTATAATTATGACCATATTTATGCAAGGACAAATAAGATATTTGCACTGAGCAAATTCGATCGGGGCAATAAGCAAAAAAAAAAAATAGTTATCATTAAATGTATATTTTATCATATTGTGTGTAATAATATTGCAGTATAAAAGCTTGAATTCTGTCTGATAAATCTAAATTATTAAAGGTTCAATGGCGCCGAATACGAACTTAAAGTAATGCATTTGCACCACATAAAATTAGGAGGTGAGTATAGGTGACCCAGAGTAGGTCTATATAATTTTGAAAAACTGGCTCTTAGTAGCCAGTAGGTATTATGTAGTACGAGTAGATATCTATTCAATTTGAATTTAACAATATTTTGATCATTGATGGTCAAATAGCAGAAACAAATAGCAAAGATATTTTGACCTTGGATCTAAATAAAAATAATATTTTTGAGCTTGTTTAGGTAGGGGAGGTTGAGGTTAGGATTTGTGTTTGTACCACCTACTAAAAATTAGTTCGGCACTAATATTCGTTGTACCCCACAATATTATTGATAATTTTTCAGAAAACAGAAAGCGAAAAACAATTTGTGGAGACATAAATCAAATTCAAATTCAAATTATTTAGTTTTTTAAAAATTTATTAAAATATAGAATAAAAATTCTTAAAAAAAAAAAAAAAAACATTTAATTTTGAACGTATACTTTTTTATAAATATTAATTAGGTGCGTTGAAAAATTATAGTACTCATGTATATAAAATAATTATATTTTTATCAATTCAGTTTTATTTTATGATTTTACTACTCATAAGTCAAAAATAACATACAGCGTTATTTTAATAATATTTTATACTTATATACATTTTATTTTAACAATGAAAGAGAAAAAAAGACCTAAAATTGTAAATTGTACTCGGCCTATGAATTGATAAATCAATGCCTGAATATAATAGACAATTGTATACAAATATAACTAAAATACGTCTTTTAACAAACCTGACTTTTATCCTAGACCCCAGTATCTATTTCTTACATTTTATCATTCACAAATCATTTAAATGGCTCCGTAAAATAACATTAACTGGCATATTAACGGAACAATAAACGATTTCTTAAAGTATATATACTTTTTGTCACATTCTTTGTGTATATACATATATAATATATATAGACAAGTAATAAATTTCAAACCAACATTTCTGGGATACAAATAAAAGCCAATTCCCTTCTTCCCGCCTCCTTCCATTGGTCATATTAATAGGCTATTTCTTACATAATAGCAAGACTAAATGCACCCAGGCGTGTTATTTCTCCTAGGACACATTTTACCTATTTATTTGTGTCCCATCATTTTTTCATTTTAGTAAAGAAATTAGGTTTATTCACATTTTAAACTTTAATTTATAACTTTTTTACGATGTACTACAAAGTTGTGTATAGTTAATATAGTGATTGTTAAATTACTAAGAAAAATAAAAGAAAAAAAAATACTTAATGTGATTTTAAACAAAAGTATAATCATCTACAAAATAGTTAACTATTTGGGATACGTTATATTCATAGAAGATTCACTGGCTTGTACTTTTAATATTACAATAATTGTAAAACTATTTTAGATAAGCTTTATGAGTAAAGGCCGGAATTATACTCTTTTACATATTTTTTATTTATTTTTTATTTTTTGATTCTATGCAGTTAGATGAAGGTTTGAAATCTTAACAAATTAGGAAACGTATAAACTAATGGAAATTATTTTTTTCCATATTTGAGTATGTTTAGAGATAAATGAATATTTCATATGATAAAGAATATTCGAGAATATATCCAATAATTGTATAGATTTTCGATATTTCTTGTTGCAGTGGTATAAATATACTAAATTTTATATTCAATAATAGTGGTTTTTAAAACGTAGCAAAAATTTTAAATAGATATAATGAAGAACAAATTATAGATAATTTTTCAACAACCATGATAAATAATTTGGAACACGTTCCTTGCACCTAACCAGTTAACGTCGAATGTTTTTTTAGTTCATCGGTTTATAACATTTTAATCTTCCATAAAACGAGTATTATACTAGAGCACATGGAATAAAATATTGATGTCAACATTTTTCAAAAATGGTCTTAATTAAAAATACGTCATTAATCTAATTTAATTATATAAATTAAATGTTAAATAAATAAAATATTTTTTTAAGCTATATTATTTTTTATTATATATTAATTTATATCAGATTTTTTGTATTTTTTATTTTACATATAAAAACATATATTTAATTTATAGAAATATTAATATAAAAACATATTTTTTTTCATATATATTATTATGATTTTTAAAGAATATTGGAAAAATATTTTCAACTTTTCAAAAGAATATTAGCATTTTATTTTGGCTATTTTAAAAGAATTTTATTCTAACTTCTACTTATGAGTATTAATTGTTTATATTTTTATTTATTTTTTATTTTTTATAAAATTATGTAAATTTAAATAATAATAAATTTATAAATATTGATATCTTATATTCTTAGAGTTGTACTTTTAATATTATCTTGGCCATTAACATGTAAACAATACATCTAGGTTATCAGGTATATTTAGTGTTTGCCTAGCGTGTTTCTAAATTCTGTAAAATTAAAATTTCACGTGTTAGATATATTCTTGGCGGTTCTTTATTAATTTATTATTTTCTGAATCGTAACCAAATAATCATAGTTTCACAAATAGATTTGATGCAAATTGAATGATAATATTTTATAATTTTTCAGATAATTGGCAATAAACGTAAAATGTTTGAATATACATTTATTTATAATTTTACTTAGCATTGCATCCTAATGTGTTACGCAAATTAAAATTATTAAAAAATTATTAAAATTAATGTGATAGAATTTAATGAATCATTTAATACTTCGAATCTATTAAAAAATAAGTACTAATTTTATCATAATGTTTCACTATTTTAATTTATTATTACAGTCAAATTCATATAATTAAACATGATATAATCTATCATACAATTAAGATATTTTTCTCATTCTAATTTTGTATAAAAATATAAATATATATGTTATAACTAGGGCCCGGATTTAAATGCACTTAAAATCATATAGATATGCTCTTAAAAATAGCTAAAAATGTCCTTAAAAAATGTATTTTACGACAAAAATGACCATAAAAATGACAATTTTTTTTATTTTGAACATTATTTAACACACTATTTAATACAGTAAAATCACATTCACGTGTAATACGAGCAACGTCTGCGAGGTAATACGAACTAGCTAATTATTTTTTATTTGACCGAATACTGGTGACGTTCCATAGTCAATAATAAATTAAGATAAGATAAAAATTGAATCGAAATTTTTTTTTTCTTATAAAGATTGACAATGTATTCGGAAAAACTCGATAAACCTACTTAAATATCAAGAAAATAATTTGTCTTTTGATTTTATTTTAAATAAGCTAAATTTGTTTAGTACATCGAACAAATATGCATTAAAAACCAAAAAAAATGACCCAATAATACTAAAAATGCTCTAAAAATGAAAAAAACGTCGAAATATGCAAAAAAAAATGCAAAATAAAATTTCTAGTTTTGAAACCCTCATTACATTAAACGAATTATGTTCTTAGAAAGCATTGTGTATGATCAACCAGAAAAATATGCACTTTGCATTGAAATCCGGGCCCTAGTTATAACATATTTGTTAATTATTTGTTGTGTACTCTTCTTGTGAAATAGGAAATATTTTATTACTAGTATATTATTACTAGGTTTATTACTAGTACTATTATAATAAATCAATCTTAAGCGAAATAACTCTGTTTTTAAAATAATTTTTTCTGAATATGTAAAAGAACTCTGTACTGTTCACTACGAAGATATATTTCATAAATATATTTTTTTTTCTTTCGATAACTCACATATTTATAGTTGGGAAGAGTTTCTGGACTTGTTCCCAAATCATCTTGAAATAATCACGGATTCTTTGCCGTCGGCTAAAACTGTCAAAATCCGTTCGAACTGTTTTAAGTTACCGCACATGAAAATGTATTTTCTGCCAAATGGTTGCTGTAAGTTAATATTGGGTATAATTTCAAAAAAAGGCATTTGGAATCCATTTTTATCCTTAACACAAAAAATGATAAATAGCCTTAAATACGAGTGTTAAAAATTAGCGTATTTTAACACATTCAAGTGGGAAATTGTCGATTTTTTAAATCAATATAGATCATCATTAAGGACATATACAAAAATATTACTCGGAAGAAGTTTTAGTACCTCCCTCCCCCTAAATGATACTAATTTTTCTAAAATCGATTAATTTTAGATAATATTATGGTTAGAATAAAACCACTCACCATCTTCCTCTCGATAACACAATTTAACTCAGCGGACTAATTTTCTTGGGTTTTGTATACGAAATTGATATGAAATCAACTACTGAAACTGATAGCCTGGATAGATATAGGAAAATTTATGCCATATAAAATTGCTACTATTGATTTCTAGATAATGGAATATGATAGATATTTAATGATCAAAGCATTCTTAAGTTAACAGAAATAGTGTTTTACTGACAAAATTAGTTAGTCTCCCATCGCTTTTAATGAAACTCGATGAATTGATTAAAACTGATTTGATTGGCGGAAATCGAAAAGGAACAATAAAAATAGTTTCCAAGAAAAGTTTATATTATAAATTCTTTTAAGTACCTATTGATAAACTAACCAAAAATGTATAGCTGCATCTTATGAAGATTATTGAGTGAGTGTTCGTATCTAATAATCTCTAAACAGAAAAATATTATTATATTATTATCTAGTATATAATATATAAACATAAAATAGATGTTAAATTTGATACATCTCATCATAATATAAATTCCTAACAAAGCTCGATTTGCGATGATCTATCTATAGTAAGTTTTAATTTTATATTCCGAACACAACAGGGAGACTTTATTGTGTTTATGATGATGTAATTTTTATTTTTTTATTTTTTTTATTATATATATATATTCCTTACACTTTCAAATATTCATTAATTTCCAAACAATAATTACATAAATAAAAAGTTATTGAGATTTTAAATTAACAGTTGAATATCAAACATTGGACTAATTAATTGATCAAATAATCAATCAACAAACGAAATAAAGTATATCTGTCTTATTAAAACTGTGTACTAAAAAGAATAATGTAAAATAATAATCAGATATTTCGTTATAAATCTATTTTTTATCACTTAAAAATAAGATTATTTACATATTTGATTTTTATTCCATAATAATTACTTAAAAATGTATTCTCTTTAAAAATTAGTAAATTCGTTGTATAATTATAAATTTTTTAAGAAAAAACAAAACTATATTATTTCCTCTATTGAATTAATTTCTTACGCCCTATAATTTTTTTAAAAATATATAACGATGAAAATGTGTATACTATAACAGTTATTACCTATAGCTTGTTGATAAGACTAGAGAAGGTCTAGTTTTTCAGGATTGTATGTATCGAATTCAAAAAATAAAAACAAATTATTTTGTTAATGGCTTCTTACTCATACTAAATTATAATTTCATGATCACGTAATTTTATTGTATGTAATTATATGTATTTTATCTTTTCCTGTATCATAATGTTTATCATTTAAACTTTAATCAAATGAGAAACCAAAGTCAGTTTATTAATAAGTGTGATGTATACAGTTTACATTTTTACCAGTAAAAAACGTTTATTTGAAAATAATTATTTTCTTTTAATAAATAAATTTGTACAATAAATAAATTAATGAATAGTTATGAATAGTTATTATACACTGTGTTTAATAATATAATGTATCATTTTTTGTCATAAAACTTATTTATTGATTTATTTAATAGAGTATATATAATTTATACCATATAAATACACCATAACAATTTATTAATGTTTTTAAATATAAATATATTACATAATATTGTGTATAAATTATATTTTCAAATTATTAATTTATAAAAAGGAAAATAAATAAATTTAAATTTTTATACTTGTATATATATATTAATTATATTTCTTAAAATTATATAAAAACAGTTTGTTATAAAAGAACAACTTCAATGCAATTTTTATCATTTTCTCGTCATTCGATGGCAGAAAAATATTGTTGATATTTTTATTTTTTTTTTTTTTTGATCAATTACACAAGTTTAGTAAATCATCTTAATAATAATCATGAATTATGAATACAATATTAGAGTTGTTTCATATATGGCCTATAGGCTGTGCTATAAAATAATAAATATATACAATAATTAGCATAAAAAATATTAGATAAACCCATCGTAAATAAAAACGAATAAACCATTTTAATACTTACATTACTTAATTCATACACATAAATGATTAAACTACAATACCCAGAAACTTCCAATAATTAAACTGAAAAAGAAAATTATAATTAGTACTAATGTTTTAATAATTATTAATGTTATGATATTTATTATAAAGCTATCTAAAGCAAAAATAGTTGTTTTAAACTTATTAATTATTATATTAAAACTTATAAGAGAATTTAAGCAATTTTATAAGTCAAGTAATTATATAATACAAATAAAATGCTGAGAAAGTTGAAACATAACTTAAAATAAAAATTAAAAAAAAACTTCAATCAAACTATACAAGTACTAAATAATATTCTACTCGGAGTGTATTTAGTATAATATAATAATCTTGATATAATAGGCATTAGAAATCCTCCTATTGCTTTTAATTAATATAATGTATTGTTAAACATATCCCCTCTACATTTATTGAAAAATATAAATGTAGTACATTTAATCATTATACTCGTTATTTCTTCCGGAATTCAAAAACTTGTACAGTTTATAACAATCTTATAATTTCATAATGCTTTTTTCAAGACACATTGTTCCGCTTTAAAATAAATTTCATTTTATAATTGAAAATTGTACTTAATTAAAATGATAAACAACTATAATAATGTAAACCAGTTTGATATTATTTAATGGTATTTAATAATTTCTATTGTTTAAGATTAAAAAATATAATCTAATTTATACTGATGAGAGTATATTAAAGTACCGAACTTATAAATCACCATACTTAATTCAAATTTTATAATATCTTAAATATTGAGTAAAATTAATTTAAGATTTTCTAAAAAATGAGTTTGGAGTTGCATTGATTTTTTTCTGTTTGTAAACATATTTTCGAGTAGATTTGGACAAGGTATTCTAAAAATATAATACAACCCTGGATTAGAAAGTGAGCATAGAAGATACTTTAAATAGGTAATTTTTGCAAATTGATAATTATTGATAATTGATAATCGTGTTATTCGAGAAAATGTTAAAAATTATTTTAATATTAATTTAAATAGAATTGTTTAATTAAATAATTGACCTTTAATACGAGTGAAATTCCAAGTTATAAATGAGTAATCACCGCATTAAATACGTATAAAAGAAAGTAATAAATTAAATATAATTTAATTACTTAATTAGGTTAATTTATTTCTTAATTATTAATAAAGTAACTTAAAATTTTAAATAACAGAAAGCCGACTCATCATTATACCATCGCCTAGGTTACATATTAAATTTGTTCGTCATTCTTTTTTTTGAAAAATAATTTAACAATCTATTGAATATATTTTGCTTGACGTGTATAATATTTTCACAAAATATGCACCTAAAAATCAAAATGTTGTTACGTTTACCATAATTCGATGACAAAAATATTTATTAGAACTGAAACACCCAAATTAACTTCAATCGCAGTACCCACTATTTCTTCTCATCTCCTAATAGAAAGCTGCAAGTACTTAACTTTGACAATAATTATACATTTTGTTAAAACTAGAGAACTAGGTTACCTAAAAGGTTGCCATCACCATTGTACAATTTTCGTTGGAGAGTATCTGACAATATAATTGATGAAAATAATGACATAGGTAGCAAAAATAAACGACATAATATAAATTAATGATTTTTGTCATGTATTCAACTCCACAACCTTTATTTTTTGTTAGAATGGTACAAATATACTAAAAGTATAATTTATTTAATTTATATCATATAAAATTATATTATCAATTAATTATAAATATTTAAATTTTTCATCTAACAACAAGCCGAATAACGTCAAGTACTAATCACGCATGTATAATCTTATAAGTTTATATTCTTAAGTTAATCTTAAGTTAAGACCCAAAAACACGACACTGGATTTACAGAAGATGAACAATAACAAATTACGAAAAATCCGAATTTGAATGACAAACCATCAACGAGATTCATAAATTAAAAATATTTTTTTATTTGGCTATAGCATATAAATTCAAATAGCATACAAGTAATTTTTTGCTTTTCCAAATAAAATTTACGAAATTAAGTATTATTCATTAACATAAACTTAGTTGAAATACTTTTATTCTGTATTCGAGCTTAGTTTAAAATAAAGATACGATACTCAAATTTTAAAATCAAAAGAATGAAAAAAGCGACGATTTTAGAAATTTTAATTATGACATAGTACTCGTATTATATAGTGAAAAGTTTTTGTACTTCGATCTTAGTATAATAAATAAAATACAAAACTTAAAAATGCAAATTTATGTGTTAAAAAAACGTCGTTCAAAAATAAACTGCCTAGATTTTTCATTTTTATTTTTATTTAGTTAATATTATAAATATAATTCTGAAATAACCTAAGCATATTGCATTGTCGTTTATCAACGTTTTATTATACTTTTCTAATAAAAATGTTGTTATTCTTTCACTATTTTGTTTACTTTTAAGTTATATTGGGAAAAAAAAAATAATAATACTCACATGTATAGTAATACGAACGTTTTCCATAATGTAATATTCTTTTGTTAGCGATCGCATATAGTATTAAAATTATTACAATTGCTGAAATAACACCAAGAAAAAATACTGAAAAAAATCAACGAAAATTAAATTAATAAGTTGCAAATTATTGTTATGGGTACATGTCTATCATACATCTTCATAAATTTATTTTTTTTTAATCTTTCTATTTAACATGTTATTGAAATTCAATATCAGCCATTTATTAATGAATTTAACCTTAAAGTATTAAACGCAATACCAAATAAAAACAGTATTACTCACTCAATAATTCAGAAGTATTGTTTTTAACATTAATCTTGCACTCAGTATCCCAATCATTTGGTATAAATGGTATTAAAACCTCCGTCAATTGATCTAGATCACAAGCGACTGAATCACAACCTGGAACTTGAAGTAAATATGGGTCGTGAATACTTGTATTTCGATAAGAAACCTGAAAAATAATTTTATTTCAAAAACAGTAGAATTTTATTATTTATACAAAATTAAGCTAAAGCTACATCTTATTTTTATATCAGTTATTTGAAGCTGAATAAAAAATATTTTATTTAATTTAATTTTGCATTCATATTTACTTCATTATATATAAATAAAATTGTATTAAACGCTTATTGCAAATTAATACAATTCTATACTTATTTCTATATTAAATGTAGTTTTAATAAACGAAAATTCCATTATAAACAATATATTACATTTTTAAATCAAATTACTTCACTTTTATACATGTATAAATATATACAGTAACTATAAGTTATCACTAAGGTACGAATTTCAATGCAACGTGCATTTTTTTTCTATATCCTTAAGCAATGTTCAGTTTGGCAAAAATATGTTTCAAATAATTCAATTTTTATTTTGCATTTTTTTGCATTTTTTGTTGTATTTACTTTTTTGTTCATTTTTGGTATTTTCAATACTTTTAAGGACATTATTTTCATATTTTTTAAAAATGTAGCATTTTTGGAAAGAATTAAAACAATTTTTAGTATTTATTATTTTTCTTTAATCAAATTATTGACAACTTTATTTAACCTCTTACGTTATCATTAGGTATATCATTAAATGATTTTAAATAGTCGATGACGATAACAATAATGCGGAATATGTGTGTATAGTGACATCGTGGGTCTAACTCTTAATAATCCCATCTATTATCTTATAACCAAAAAACATTGACATTTGAACTAATCAAAGAATAAATTGTTGTGCAGTGCACACATATTATCACATACTTTTAAAAGGTAAAAATACTTGAATATTATAAAAAGAAAAGATTTTTTTTTAAATTTTGACTGTTTATACCTAACACTATTTATAATTTAAAATTATAAATGGTTTAAAATTTTCAGTTTAACGTGACTATAAAAATACAAAAAATATAGAATCAAGCAACAGCAGGAAAACTTTGATCAAATTAAATAAAAAAAATTTAGTGAATTTTTAGTAGTCATTTTTTAAATATTTCATACATTTTTTACGTCATTACATACATTTTTCTCATTTTTAATACATTATTTTAAGTCATTATTTAAATTTTTTAGGTTATAATTGAATTTTTTCTAAGGAATTTTAAAGTACTTTTTAAGACATTAAAACCCGTGCCTTTTATCACATATTATCAAAATAATCTTTAGTCAATAACAAATACATTTCTAATTATAGCCAATTATATGATTAAAACTTAAAAGTATGATGATAAATAAATAAAATAAATAAAAACTATATAGATATTTATAATAAACAGTACATCTTTATGCGGCCGAAGAACTATTAATTATTCAGGTTTTTCTGAAAGGTGATTTGGTATAAATTCTAAATTCTAATTCTATTTTCACAGATTGAGCATTTATGAATTGAAAATCCAACACAGAACTAGAAAACCAAAATAAGCATAAAATTAAACCCAATGTAACTCAAATTTTAGTGTCTACTCTACTCAAAAATTAAATATCGAAAATAGAAACTTACAAATATACTTACAATATATACATTTACATACATTTATATCAAAGATATGTTAACATTTTAAAATATATTATAAACATATATTTAGATTTAAAAGAAAAATTACTAATGTATACAATTATTTTAGTATTACAAAACGATTCTGTTATATACTGTTCATGTTATATTAGGTAACATGTAGATGATTAAAATATTGTTACATTTAATTTTCTAATTTAAATATTTATAACTACAAATTGTATAATAAAAAAACTCACAATAATTCAAACTTAATATTCTTACAAAAAATAAAAGACCATAATGGCCATCTATGACTGATAATTAGAAAAATTATAATTATAATATATTGATTACATACTATATAATTTAATTGGTTTTCAATGTTTAGTTCTTATTAGTAAAAATTTGATAGTTTCATTATTTTAACTCAAAACATACGTTGATTTTCAAGTTTTTAAATTTTACCTTTATATTTTAACTATAATAAGGTAATAAAATCGTATTAAACAGATATGTAGTTAATTTATTTATTTTTTAAAAAGTTTTCATAATAAAGTTTTAAGCAATTCAAAAATGTTTATTTTAATTATAAAATATATACAATTTTTAATCGAGTAAAATATATTTTTAGAACACAATTATATTCTACTTAAACAGAATACCAACTAAATCCAGACAAAAAAAAACCTTTAGATATAAAACTCATTTATTCGATTGATTCTTTAAAAATCTTAAATAAATGCATTTATATTTATATAACTTTTATTTTATTTATATAGCTTATGACATTTATTTGATGTAATAAGTACTATACTGACGGTTATATAAATGTATTATTCATATATTCCTGAATTACATAATAAATTCATTTTTTCATGCTTAGTTAAATATTCACAGATAGAACTTTAAATATGTATTGAATTTTCATAACATTAAACAAATATTTTTAATATTTCCTTTCATCAAAAGATTCAGTTATGTTGTTAAACTTTTAAGTATATAAATATATAAATTTGTATAAAAATATAAATTAATAAATACTTAAAAGTTATTACAACAATTTAACGGTTTATATTTAGTAAAGGGATAATAATAATATTAAACTATTGGTTACATCAATGTCGGTATATGAAACTATTAGATCTTTAATCATTAAATCATTGAGGAAAATATGTTTAGTACAAAAATAACTGTCATAATTGTGAAAAAAAAATACTATTAATTTTTTTGAGAAAAATTCATGATGATGTATTTCGAACTAAACAGGTTTTATTTTTGAATTATTTGAATTTTTAATAGCTAGAAACAAAAGTATAGTTAATAATAAATATTAAATAAAAAAATCTAAAGTAAATATTAACATATAAATTATTACCAAACTATATAGTGCCACACTTTCAACAAATCGTCTATCATTAAAAAATCACACTATTTAAATAGAAAGATTTCTTAAATATTTTAATGTCATTAATTAGTTTTTTTTTCTTATTTGAATTTAAAAAATATAGAAATACATTCGGCACTGAGCAAAAAATATAATTTATATTTAGTTTTAAAATAAATCACTGTTAAATGAAAAAAAAAAGGTGAGTACCTAATTCAAACGTATTTAAATATTTATGCTAATCACAAAACTCACGGTGACAACATAATTTCCTGTATTGTTTAACCGAAGTTCAATCATCAAAACAGCAGCATAGGGTACAAGTAAATTATTATTTATTCCCATAGTGTTGAGTAAACTATATATAGTTGTGTCATGACCTGAATAAATCCAAAGCTTTCTGTTAGGATTCAGAGAACCATGTTTCTTTTCATTCATATGAGTTACAATATCCTTGAGTAAAGGACCTGAAAACAAACAACTAAATTCTAATATCAAAACAACAAATAAAACATATATATTATACATTACATTGACGTTTAGCACATATGAGACACTAACTTTATAAATATATACGTGTCTTAGATTTCTCATGAATAAATATTAGTAATATGATATTACTATATAGTCGCTTTTCATTTACTTTGAATACAATGTATGTACATTTCAAATCATCCATTACAATTTTTAATATAAAATATATATATTATACTTAATAATATATCTAAACAATGTTTATTTTTTCAATATTTTAATATATTTTTATATGTTAAATAAACTCTTTGACAATTTTTTTAATAATAAATATTTTAAATAATAATATTATTCCAAGTATTGATCCTGACAATAATATAATTATAATAAGTAAAGCAATAATTGCTTAATAATTATTATAATTTTTTATTTTTTTAAATTTTTTTTTTAGTCAAAATATACAATTTATATAAGTAGACATATTAATTATATGTGATATAATAAAATAGATAACGAGAACAAAAAAAAGGTATATAAAGAAATGAAGACCCTAATGAGGACAGTTTAATTGTTGATTTTTAAATTAAGTACAATGTTACTTGGGCATATTTTCATTTTATTTGTTTATAATATTTTTTAGGTTTATTTTAATTTCTTTATTGTTGTAATATATTAAAACTTTATAATATAACAAATTATTTTCTTATTCAACATTTTAAAAAAAATAATGTTAATATAAGTCACTAAAAAAAAATAGTACCTCATTTCTCTAAATCAAAGTAGAAAATAGATTTCAAATTAATTTTCTAAATAAAAATTATGACTTAATTATATAAAAAATAACCTGCACTTGTATTATTATAATAAGTTCTTTGTATTTTATATCTATTTACGTATAAAATGTAAAACAAAATAAGATATCTATTTTTTTAAAACTTCTTATATTAAGATGTATACATTAGTAATATTAAGAGTAATTATTAACATTCTTACACACAGTTTACAGTTATATACATACAGACTTATTTGGTTGAAAGTTTGAAAACACATTTATTACTATATATTTTATAATAAAATATAGAAAATAGAATTCCTATATAAAGTAGATGGAAATTATTTTTTTAAACACACAAGTAAATTATGTTATTTAAAATATCATGCGTGATTTAAGTGATATAAAAATATCTTTAATAATATTTTTTTCCCAAATACATACTTTGAATTTTAAAACTCTTACCGCATTTTAATCTTTTCATAATATTATTATGTGTTGATAACTCATAATTTTTAATAGCTATTGTTGTCAATGGTTCAGGAAATATTCGTTTAGTCCAGTCCGGTAATGTATAATTGAATTTTGACTAAAAAAAATAATATTTTTATTCAAAACCAAAACTTCATCATAAAATAAATTATATCATTATTTCATTTCTTTAACTCAATAACACTTGAAATGTCGATTTTTCAAGCTTATAATGTTTAATGATTATAAAAAAAATCTTTATTTTTATGAAGATTACACAAAAAAAAAAAAGTAACTAAACATGTAAAAACCTATTTAATAAAGCAATTTATTATGTGAATAATAAAAAATATACTTATAATTAAGTACTGATCACATCGACATTATTTTTATTGAAAACAGTTTCGGAATGTATTAAAATTTCTCTAATCAAGCATTTAATTACAGCTTTTTAATTTGAATTATTACTATTCAATTTAAAAATGTTCTATTTTCAAGATTTTATATGAATTCAAATGTTTTTACAATAATATAATATCTTATATGATAAAAATTGGAATATATATATAAAATCTTCTTGAAAATAGAACATTTTTAAATTGAATAGTAATAATTCAAATTAAAAAGCTGTAATTAAATGCTTGATTAGAGAAATTTTAATACATTCCGAAACTGTTTTCAATAAAGATAATGTCGATTTGATCAGTATTTAATTATAAATATATTTTTTATTATTCACATAATAAATTGCTTTATTGAATAGGTTTTTACATGTTTAGTTATTTTTTTTATTTTTTTTTTTTTTGTGCAATCTTCATAAAAATAAAATTTTTTTTATAATCATTAAACATTATAAGCTTGAAAAATCGACATTTCAAGTGTTATTGAGTTAAAGAAATGAAATACATTTATTCCTTGTCCAACTAATGAAATTCATTTTTAAGTAAAGTACTAAAATAATATATTTACATTTTATAGCACCAAATTAATTATTATCGATTTTTATAATTGGTAATTATTACTCTTAACAACTGCTTAATTTAGTTTAGTAAGTAACATAAGTACTTGTATGTCCCTAAACCGTTATTTCTTATGTTTTATAAGGATTTTTTATTAAATTTAGAATATTTTAAATTTTTTTTCAAAAAATAATTTATTTAAAAATAAAATACATTCAGGAAATAAAATATATACCAAACTAATCATAAAAACAAATGTGTCATATATTTTTTAAAGACCACTTGATAAATGTCTTTGAAAATTAAAATGTGTTCGTGTCATATTATTCGCATGGTCGAGCATATTTGGTATTTTTTTTTATTTTTTTTTAAAGAAAAATATCATTAATATAGAAAAAATCAGTGGCGGATTAGGGATCAGGCTAAAAAGTTTATAGCCTAGGGCGGCTTTTTTTTTTTATAGAATTAAGTGTTATAATTGACTTATTAGGTATATTTATTTTAATATATTTTTTTTATATTTGTCATATAAACATGAATAAAAATAATTTTAAAAAGTTATAATAATATATTAATATGTACATTGTATGATGCGTACCCATAGGCTATAGTATGAATATTACAATTATTATTACAATTTGAAAATATTTCGTTTGTAATAAAATAATTACAGTTAGTTACTAGTTATTATTAATAACCTAGTAGTACCTATGTACTTATTGGGAACATCCGACTATCCGAGTATAGGTGTTTTCATATCTGGCTATTTATATTTCCGTTATGTGATTGTATAAGCATTGTTTATTTGTACTGGTAATAATGGTATCTGAAGTAAAATAATAGACATGAAATATTTTATTTTTAGAAGTTATCTATTTTAAAGATTTAATATTTAATATTTTTTTTTTATTTATTTATTTTATATTTTTTTTTTGATATAAAAACTGAATAACATTTGTAGAGAAGGGTATAGACCAAATATTGATGGTTCCTTAGTAGAGTGATAGGGGGGGGGGCAGAGTGATTAAGCCTAGGGGCGCCAAAACGCAAGATCCGCCACTGGAAAAAATTATAACTTGTAAAAATTATAATCCCATATATGATAAACAAAAAATAGAAACTTGTATTTGATACCTTATTATATGAGTAGCAATTTGTGGTTGCTACTTTGGAATTACTGTGAACAACTATTAAAATCACTACTACTGCTATTTAATGCTATAACTAGTCAAACAAAAACAAAAGTATATTTTCAACGATTTTCTTACGAAATTTGAGTCTTATAACCGAATTTTTTTATTGTATATCGATACTTTCCGGCTAATTTTAAGTCTAATAAGCGGCTGAATCTTATATCCGTGAATCTTATAAACAGTGTCAACTATATAATTAAAATGATTATATTATAAATTTTATACTACTCGTATGAATATTTATTTTATAAGCTATTCACACTAGTTCACAAAAAAACGTCCATATAAAAATAAAAAAAATCATTAAAGAGTCGATATATTAAGTATATAATATATTTACCTCGATAGTGAGTGCCTGAAACACCGTTGTAATAAAATAAATGGGTTTCGATTTTTCCTCCATTGTGGCCCCTGCGTTGTTAAATATGTACTTGATAACTGAACTAAACTGAGCATAAAATGATTGTACGTCTTCATCATTTTGTATTTTCTCTAACTCTTGTGAATACAATGGACAAGCTTCTGACATAGCCAATACCTAAACCATAGAGATTTTACAATAAATTTAGAATTTCTATGTAATATGAATAAATGTATTTAAAATGTGTTTAAAACTAGTTATCCTTTTACAAAATTCATTGAATTTGTCGTATTATTATTGCGACATATTTTAAATTACTGATTTATGACCAATTTCCCGGTCTAAGATTCTGTTAAAAACGAATTTTAAAAATCGTTATAATTTATCTCAGTGTGATAGAGTACACTGAGCACTATAAAATGGTCGAATTCAATCAAACAGAAAAATACGCCCGAGTATTTTAATCAGGGGCGTATTTATGGGGGGCCGAGGGAACCCAGACCCCCCGAAATGAAAAACACCATTGTCAAAGATAGTTATTTTTAACATGGATATGTCTTAATGTTGGGGGGTTTCCGAAAATTTTTCGCGACACTGAGAATGTTGATTATGCGATAATTTAAAATTTTATATCTATAAAATATGTTCATTCTTTTAAGAAAATATGTAGTGATTTTGACTGACTCTAATAAAAAATTTGTTTATTACAATGTAGTTTTTATACTTTTAAAAAATAATTAATCATTAAAAAAAATTGAGTTTCTTATTTCTATGATGGTATAAAGACAGTCGAGAAGTCTTATAGTGTTAAAGTAATTTTTTTCGTAATAGTGTGCTTCCTCCTTCCCTTCCACCCAAAAATCAAATACATAATCGGCCTCCTCCGAAATGAAAACCTATATACGCCACTGATTTTAATGCCATTAGTTTAACATAGTTTTTAATTGATTACCGTCAAACGCAAATAATTAATAGCTACTTAAGTATATCTATTTAAGAGAAACTTATATTCTTAACATAATCACAGTTAAAGTTAGTTCTAAATGAATATGTTATAACATATAAATGTATGCATATATACAATTATTTACAATACATATTTTTCTTGTTTAAAAAGATTAGTTAAAAAATAAGATTCGATTAGATATTACGTATATCATATTTAAGTCCACTTTTTTTCAATTTAGCTTTCTTAAAATGACTGTCTCAAAAGTCTCCTATTTTCTGTATTTATTTCATTAACTTCTAATAACATTAAAACTAAATGAACTTGTTATTATTACCTACATTTACTAAATTTTAAATAAAAATTAATCATCGAAGACTCCGTCCAAAAAATAATTCTATCTATTTTCTCCATAATAATTTAATTTTACTTCTAGGTTTTAATTTTTAATCTATAAATCCTTCTTAATTTCTATTTTTGTTACAGTAAATATATGTATACTATTTAAATGAATATTCTACATACGTAAATATATTAGGGAAGAGTAAAACAATCAGCTATACTTACATTATCCTGGAGTTTTGGTACTGTGTGTATTGGAATTAATTGATTCCATTTTTTAGGCTCCACAGGAGGATACAAACCGTCTAAATTAGCTTCAGCACTCATTATAGTCCGATCATAGTCACTGCTACGTATGTATATATCTTCAGTAGAATAAACTTCCGGTAACCACCCACTATAGCGTTTTCTCAACCACACTCCTAATTCATAGTGTTCTTCAATTCCAGTCTAAACATATATTGAAAAAATATATTTAAGATTAAACTATCAAGTTCTACATAGTATGAATTACTAATAAACAAATAAAAAAATGTATACATTAATTTGTTGTACAAGCATTTAATATGGTTATATTAGTAAACAACTTGTACTACATCGTTCAATTAGGAAGTTATACAATTTTTAATATTTTCTCGCAAATATTGAAAATTATATTAAAAAAGAAAACGTAATAATATTATTGTAAAATATTTCTAAGGACAACGAAAATTTCAAATTATATTACTCACAAGAGTGAGTTGGCCAAATCCCATTGGCCAGTAGGATTTGTTTGCATATGGATCCATTGGATAAGTATTTTCAATTGACCGATCACCATGTCTGTAAAGCTAAAAAATACATTATAAATTAAAATACATTTTTGGTTTGAATATTATAATTCATAGTTAATACCAATTTTGTCATTTAATCATTGACGTTGAGTTTAGATCAATTAATATTAAAATATATCTTAAAAACAAAAATATTATTTATGTGTATTTATAATATTGTGAACATTTATACCTATGAGGATACAATCTGTAATCTATGTAATATTAATATTGTGATTAACATTTTTAGATGTTAACCTTCAATAATTTACAGCAATCATCTTAATCCGTTATAAACATATTTAATAAATATTATTTATACATTTTTTTTTTTCATAAGAAACTTTTTAATTTTTAAAACTGTATATTTTAATAATAACATTATTTTTTTTATAAACCAAAAAATAAAAATGAACTTTGTTATAATTTCTGTATTCATTTTTTAGTTAAAATTATATTAAATATGAATTGTAGTAAGTACCCTTGTGTATCTACGAATTTAACAGTTAAAATTAAATTAAAAAAACTAGTCAGAAACATTTTTAAAATATTATATACAATAAACCAGCGTTTCCCAAAATTTTTCTCTGCCGAACCCCTTAGAGATAATAAAATTTATCGCGGACCCTTAATACAAATAAAAATTTTAAAAAATAATACTTAATAATACTAAATTGATTGTTTACTTTCTGAATTAAATACAGATATTTTTATGATAAATAACGATAAACCAACGCGATCAGTCTGCCTCTAAAATTAGAGTTTTTAAAGTTAAACAGTTAAATAACTGCTTTTCAACGATAACTATTCGTATTTCGACAGTGTTTCACATATAATACGAATATTACATCAGTATTTTCGTTTTCAAAAAATAAGTACTTAGTGTATTTTTAATTTACGTTCGCGGACCTCCTCTGGTATACGTGCGGACCCCTAGGGGTCCTCGGAACTCAGTTTGAGAAACGCTGCAATAAACAAAATGACATATTAATAACTTTAAATATCATAGTAAATAAACAAGTACACAAAATGCCTAATAACTATGTAATTTAATGGTCGAAAATAACTTATTATTTGTTGTTCGCTATAAATGAAGCATTCAATACATCTATCTCATCTTTACCACCAAATACATTTCTCATCGCCACTAACTCTCTGTCCAATCTGCAAGCTCTTTCCTCTAATATTTTCAAATCACATCTTTCTCTTCTTATACTCACTATCAGACATATTATATATTCTCTAACGGAATCTAGCACTAACATCCAATTCATATGGGTACTTGACCACACTGGAATTGCGGATAACGAATTCACTGACAAACTAGCTAAATCTTCGGCTTCCCACAGATGTCCTTCAAGTACAAAAATGTAATGGATCGACTTTATCCCCAACACCTTAGGACATGCACATCCGTTCTGTGGCTCAACTAATAGGAATAACTCCCTCTTCACTTCGCCACCTGGTACAGAAATATATCTCCAACCATCCCAATACTACCCTGGTTTCACAATCTCAATCTTTATAGAAAAAGTATTACATCGCTCTCTCATTTCCGATTTAGCCACTCACTATTTTCTTCTCCTTATTTTCAAATATGATTTAACGTTTCTCCTTTCTGCACACTTCATGGTCAGTAATCTGTGATATTAGCCATTTACTTTTCATATGCCCCAGCCTATCAGCACATCGTGATCACCACTTTTTTAATTTGGACTCCGTCTACATCCCTATCAATACAATGAATATATTCTTGGGCCATCAGAAGAATACCATATTAAATATATTGTCTTTTTTTAACCAAACAGGCTTTTTAAAATTATCTTCTATTCTTATTCTTATTTATTTTAAGCGACTTTTTGTATAAATTGTAGAAACTAATTGTTAGCACAAAGTTTCAATAAAAAAATTAAAAAACTGATTATTTGCTCACACAGTTATAAAATAGATATTCTTTGTAAAAATTTCATATAGGTGGTAGATTTTACCAAATTAAAATTTACAAAAAAACTTAAATAATATGTAAGTTTTACACAGAAACTTGAACAATAAAAAAATTTTTAGAAAAAAAAAACTTCCCACAATATTTCACTTTAAGCGAGTAACTAAATCTTATAGACCGAAACTTTATTAATTTTCCTTAATATTCTTTGAAACTCCAAATTCTCCAAGAGTAATATCAGTTTTGCTTGTTTTGAGAGGGTTTGATTAATTATACAAGTAGATGATTAATAACGAAGTACTATTAAATATTTCTATTATTATTAGTACCTATAAATAAAATAATACATTTTAAAAACATAACTTAATATATTTAATAATACTTTATTATTATTTTAAGAAAATTACCACAAACCATTTTTATTTTTTATTTTTTAAGATTATAATTTCTAAATTATTTGAAATTAAATATATAGATTAAAATATCCGCGTTGATTCATATTATGATACTTATATAGTTAAATTTATCTTTGTACGTACAAAATAATATATTAAAAGATAAATAATGGTATCAACTTGAAATCGTATCTACGACTGCAATAAAACTATTAGCATGTCGATCTAATGAACAAAAAATAATTGAATCGATATATAAGTATATTAATGATGAATCACTCGATCCGTCGTGATTAAAAATAGAAATAATTAGTACGTACTCAATCTTAATAATGTTCTTTGATGGCAAATAATACAAATTATCAAAATTCATATCATAAATGATTTATAGTAACATAAAAATATCATAAAAGAATTGATGTGAATGTATGAAAATATTTCGAATACATTTTTATAATATTAATTTATTTTTTCTGAATAGTTCTTATTATTACAATAATTAAAATATTAACTTTAACACAAATAATGAAATAATATAATACTATAATTAATTGCAATAAATGTATACAAATATGGATTAGTTGCGGAATAGGTAAATTTATTAAAGGATTATACTCGTATTATATAAGTCTACTTGACAATGACAGATGTAGTAGATAATTCGAGATATATTATGCGGTCACGAAAATTCTGCACATTATTTAATCTTAAAGAAAACATTCGCTAATGTGACTAAAAATAGAGATTGGGTTAAGAAGTATGCCTCATAGACGTATTTACAGAAGGGTCCAGTTGAGCACTAGCCCCCCGGCTAACTATGCCTCCAACAAAATCATCTCTGGGTATAAAAAAAGTCGTACGGTTTGTACTCAGTACCGACAGTACATGTAGAATACTATACATCAATGTTATGCTTGTGATTTTATTTTAGTTTAAACGTATTTTTATGATTTTAAACGCTAATTGTTTATTTTTTGGTCACAATTAAAAAATATTCATATAATTACGTGTTATATAACATAAAAATAAATATTTCTTCTGTCTAAAAAAAAATAGATCTCACGATTTAAAAAATGTATTATATCCCTTCAGCTATTATGTATAAATACACCTATGATATGTAGTTATTATTGGTTATATACAGTGTGAAAAAAATTACTTTAGTCAAAATAGGATGAAATATTCGAAACGACTAGAAGAAAAAAAATCAAAAAAACTACTTGAAATCTATACACAGCATTGTATTTTACATAATATCATTGTTCATAAATACTATTTTTAATGAATGGTAATTCATCTATCTATCTATATATGCAAATTAGTAACCTAACCTGTACATATGTATTTTTATAAATAATGAATAATAATATTATAAACCGTATTTTATTAACTATGTAATATAATAAATAATATATATTTCAATTACTTAACCAGCATAATAATACACTGTTAGTGATAATAATGTTAACAGAGTATAAACAAGTACTTACTGCTCTCTTCTCAAGGGCATAGCTAGAAGTTTAATCAGAAGGGCAACCAATTATCAAAACATATGTTTAGTGTTATTTATTAATTATATTTTTTAATTTTTTCACATGTTTAATTTTTTGTCTTATTTTATAATCATTAACTATAATTTACGAAGTATTCTAGACAAGGGAAGCAATTGACTCTCTCTGGCCCCCCTTGACTATACCCTAGTTTCTTCTTATTACCTGACTGCGGAAGGAGAGTAATGTGTTTAACTGTAATGGTGTATGTTCCCACCTACCGTTTAAACTAATGGACCAATTTTGATGAAACAAAAACTAAAACAATCCGTGAGCTTCCTGTAGTGTTCTTAGCTAGATTTAATAATTGTGGAAGAGAAATTTACTTTATGTACCATTGCAGTTCACCGCACTTGCTCCAGCCGTTATCAATTGATAACGTTCGTCGTTTATCACAACCGGCGCCTGTCATAATTATACCATAGTATTCTGTGATTATGCAGCGATCACCCACTAACCAATGATTGATCATATCATATTCATACATTATACAATTATATATATAGCAAAAAGTCCACATTATGAAAATTCATTAAATGAACTAACTCGTTTAAGGAGCCTACAAAATGAATAGTAAAACATGATTTAACAAAAAAAAATCGACTACGGAAAAAATGTCATACTACGAAAAATTAAAAAACATAAAAAAAAGAAACAAAATTACATAACAAAGAAAAATGAATTTATGATCACTATCAGTTTTTATTAAGTTAACATTTTATTCCGTTGAATTCGGTTGCCCTCCATAGTTCAACAATAATAATTTCACTACGACTTACAGAAAGACAGTAATAAATAGACTAAAAATCTGTCATCAAAATTAAAATATGGACATTCAATGGCCAAAAAAAAATTTTCATCACCACACATATTGACTGAATGTCGTCATTATTATTGTTATTGAACTACAGAGGGCACGCGGACTACAATGGATTTTAACGTTAATTTAATAAATAATAATAGTAATCGTGAATTAATTTTTCTTTATTTAGTTAATTATATACAATTTTATTATTTTTTTCCCGTAGCCCGGTTTTTTTTATTAAGTAACATAATATGGATGTACACTACAACGGTTAGACGGGATATTTTTCGTGCAAAAGTTGTGTATTATAATAATCAGTTGTGCACATTTGATTTGATTTGTACTCCAAGTGCGTATAAAGTACATACTAGACTTGAAAACACGAGTTTTCCATATTCTTCGGCTAAAGGATCCACGCTGACAATGTTTCCGACGTTGCAAATACAAATTAAAGCTGCGATTATACGATACATTTCGATGGTTTGATATTGGCGGCGCATGACCACATGGCTTGAAGCGTTTGAAGTCCAAAATTTGAACTCGCGGCTAACGCGACTTAAAAACGAGAGTGGTTACGCAACTAACATTAACACTGACACTGTGGGTTAAGGACTCCGGCTACGTGCGGTTATGAGCAACCAGTTTTTTCGGTAGGCTTGCACAGACGGTTGACCTGCGCAAACGCACTGCGCACGCTCTTCGTTGCTGACCAATCGATCCGCCTGAACGAATGCTGACCCGTACGGCATTCGTCGGCTCAAAGCACGAATTTTCAACTATATTTTAATTATTTTTTTCGAAAAATACCACCTGAAAATGTCTAAATAATATCCGAATAACTAATGAACGTCTGGGATATATTAAACATTACTTATTGTAACAAAACGCCGAATTATCGATAAATAAATAAATATTGATCTTTGATTGCAAAAAAAAATATTTAAAAAAATTCAGAGTATAAGAACATAAGCTAGTGACGATTTTTAGAATTTTTTCCGCGGGTCCTTTGATATTACCTAATAATATATTAATACCAAAAATGTTTAATCCATTTATAATTTATTACTTAAATTGTAATTCTTATATTAATGAAAAAAACCAAACATAGGATTTTAAGCCCGAACACATCGAGCAAATAATATATCACACCTAAACTCAGGATCTAGGTGGCTTCAGACCTCTTAGATCCCCCCCACCCCGTAAACCGCCGAAAATACAAACAAAAAAAATTATGTAATTAATACGTTTGTGTACTAAACAAAATATATCTGGTAATATACTATTATTATATTGAAATATTTCTCTTTGTTATTCTTCCTTTCGTGCGCTATACTGGACACGAGTGCTATTCGATTGTCATTCATTGAATGACTGTGTATATAAATTGTCTTGAAAATCACATAATTTAGAAGTTTTAATTATTAAATAAAAAATTTTAAAAAAATATAACTATGATACAAATAAGCTTCTACTACTCGTAGAAGACATTTTAATATTTACTAAAAACGCATCGAATACAAAAATATAATTAAAAATTATAATTTTATGCAAAATAAATTTCATAATATTATAGAATAGAAGCAGTTAAATTGTAGAAAATCTCATTAACTTAACTAATAAATAAATAATATAAATGTATTGTTCTTTTGTGTGTCCACTGTTGTAAAATTTTAATGAACAAATAAAACTTATACATAGCTCGAAATAATAATAACTCGAAAACATTTTATCACTTTAGAAAATAAAGATAAATGGATTCTGAATATCAGTATCTGCAACAAACTTCTAACATAACCACTTCAATATCCCATAATTCATACATGCATTATATACCCACATACTAAATTAACATTTACTCTTTTATATTAAATTTCAAATACTAATTTAGGTGCAGCATTTCCAATCAAAGATATTTTCATGAACCTAAACTACTCGAAGGTAGTTTACACCCGTCAGACAAAGTAAAATTAATGGGAAACAAATAAGTCATCCATTAATACCACCAGTCCTTTAAGTGACAACAATCAATTTCTGCTGTAAACCGAAAAAATTCTCGTTTTTGCTTAACAGATAATTCTGGGTCATTCGTTGTGCAACTTGTTTGACCATTATCAAAAAGTCGATTTTCACTTCAACCTTTTATTGAAATCGGTATAAATATTCAGTGAGTCCCTATGAGTGATATACCTTTTTTACTTTATCTACATATATACAAACACGAACAGAATTAAAAAATTATATGAGTACTTAAAATACAAATCATAAATGTACATTAATGACTTTAGTTAGATACCTACTTGAATTTATTTAATGTAGGTATATAAAAATTAAAATGGGCGTGCCGTAAACGGTAAAAAAATCCCCGGAAAAAAGTTCCCGTTAATTTTAACCTGGATAATTTACGAAATAACAATTATAAAAAAACGTAATAAAATGTCATTAAGATGTTATTTATTACAGCTATATTTAATTCAAATTCTGTACATTGATAATATCATTAATTTTAAAATATTCTAAAATCAATTATCAAGCTTATGTTTATATACTTGTATACATATGAAACAAAAATAAAAATTAATTACAAATGTTGTACTTATAAATAGGTAATTTTTACTAAGGAATAAATCTGGATAAAGCTATTAGAATATATTGAATTTCCTAGTTTTCTTTCAGTAATCACTTTCAAATATTTACTCCCGCGTACTCTAAAGCTTTTATTCACGACATTACAAGACAAGGTCGAAAATCAATAATTTTTGAGTCATATTAATGGATGGTCATATGAGCTATTAGAAACGAATGTTGATTTTTTGTTGGTAGAGAACAAATTAATAACATTGCCGAGAAATTCGTTATAAATATTGAATCAATCATTAAATCATATAGTCATTTCATATTAATTTAATAAGGCACATAGCTAAGATTACACAGTTAGGGTGGCCTTATTATCGTGAACGTTTATCTTAGTATAGTAGTCAACATTTACGTCCCCCTCCTTCTATTCTATAATACAAATTTAGGTTCTAAATGATGAGTCAATGAATAATGAAATTATTTTTTATTCAAATTTGAGATTATGAAGAAACTAATCTGAGTAAGTCTTCCTCTTTTCAATATAATATCATAGTAACAAAGTATAAAAGGTATTAAGACTCTACATTTAAATAAACAAATAAATTAGATAATTTCCAAAGTTTTATTATATAAACCTTTCTTTATATATATGTTATAGTAAAACTTCGTCAAAATTAATTTTTAAGTAGTTAATACTACTTTTCATAAATAAATTTCATCAAAACGGATATTGACTAGTTAAAACTAAAATTAACCATGATTTCAATTTCGGAATCACAGTTAAAAGCTAAAATTCGTCAAAACTAGGTTTAACAAGTACAAACTATGAAATTAACTGTAGAATTGAACAAGACTTCAATATTGATACTAATTTTAAAATACAATTTTTTAAGAAAATTCAATTTTTAATAAGTATAGTTTTTATTATTTTTTTTTTTTTGACAAGACAAAGTTATTGTAGCATTTAGAGTTACATCATTTTTTTCATACATAGGTAGAGATTTGTCCCGCATGACTTTTTGCAAATACACCCCGTAAAACTTTGTCCTAATACCGTTAAAGCTTTAGCTGCGATTGTGCGAAGAATAATATTATTGTCTGGAACTTGATCGGCAGCGAAAAACACTTCCGTGCAAAAACTAAATTTAGACCGAAAATAATTTTATTAATTACTGTCATTTTACTTATTTTATAATATTTAGTGGGAAATGGTGATGATGGACATACCTGCAAGAAAGTTTTCCGAAAATCCGTCTTTAGTTCCAATTCTGCAAAAATTAATTTCTGTTTCTTCTAACAACACTCCAATTAGATTACGAAGAACTGTTTTGATTTTATCAATATTTGGAATACGAATTATAACTTTAATACCAATATCAACTGTCGAATACTTTTTGTCCGATTAATTGTCATGCGAGTTGCCTGTTTTTCCAAATTTCCACAAGCTTTTTTTCGAACTTTACTTATACTTGGACATACTGAAAGAGACTAAAAATTCGTACCTGAAACATATTAAAAAAAACATTTTTACATAACGATGTATACCTATTGCTTCCTGGGCAATTTTATCTTCACGCCTGGTGTCTGTTAGTTTGTCAACATCATTCTCAACTTTAATGGTATCAATAACATAATCGAGCAGGTTTGATGATTTGAGTCCAACTATTGGGTCAACACCAAACATGACTTCATAAGGTGGCATATTTATTGTATTACTGTATATTTATATTAAATATATTGTATATATTTGTATAAATAAAAAAAAGTCGGGTTAGTTAAGCTATTTATAACTCAAGAATGGCTGGACCAATTGTAATGAAATGGAGTATAGAGATAGATTAGACCACGGAGAAAAATATAGGCTACTTTTTGTCGTGAAAAAAAGGAAAGAGAAGCATCAGTAACCTTGATAAGGCCCAAACGGGCAATTGTAGTTTTATGTTGTTATAACCACAGAAAAGACGTATATGAACCACACTTTAGTGTGCACCTAAAAAATAATGAACTTGTCTATTTTACTAAAAATAATATTCAAGAGTGACTATATTTTCCTCCAAAAACGACACTTACAGATTTCTGTACAAGAGATGAATTTGCAATAACAGAAAACACCGAATTATAGTCCATGTGTGTAATTTCGTCCAAATAATGTTATTGGATTATTTATTTCTCGATAAAAACTTCAGTCAACCAATCAAATCGGCTTAACACTTAGTCGATAATAAAAACGAAAAATATTGTATATCACAAGGTGCTTCACTGAAAAGAATCCATCCAAGTGTAACCCATGCAGCAAAAAACATAGCTTCATCAAAGGAAATTTCTTGCGACCCGTCATTGAAATACTTGATTTTTGTACTTTAATTAAATTTTTATTTTCTCTATTGATATATTATCCCAATAATTTATTGAACTTAATACATTTTATTACGTTAATTAAAAGGTATCTCTTATTCATGGATAAAAAAAATAAGCTATTCGGTTATTTGATTATTCGATTATTCGACTATATTAATATTTTTTAAAATAATCGCACAGTTCTAGTTGTGACTACATATCTATGAAATCAATTTGACATATACTATTGAATTTATTGTGTAAAATTGGTTTCAATGCGAGGTTTTTCTTTCCAGGCTTCTTCTTCTGGTACATTACGTATAGAGACAAAAAAAACTAGTTTTGACTAGTTAAAACTAGTTTTTACAAATCTAGAGATTTAACTGTAAAATATTTATTTCTTCTATTCGTATGTCACTGAACTTCTCCTAAACGGTTGGACTGATTTTTATTAAATGTTTTGTGTGCCATTAAGTTGATCCGAAAGAATAAGCTTTTCACTGATACGAAATAGGTTAAGAGATTTTTTTGAACAAAATAACGTTTGCCGATTCTGCTAGTAATATATATGTGAATAATGAATTAACGATTATAATATAATCGTATTATTATATAATATGATGAGCTCTGACAATCTGACCATAATGTTCGAATTGCGTCAGATGCGATAAATAACAAGCTGATATGTTCATATTATTTTGTATTCGTCATGTTAACATAGAACACAGGGTTCAAGATAATACTATTACAATAACAAATAACATAATAGAAATTTTAAAATAAGGTTTAACATTTTTACTCAATTATCTGAACCTCGGGTATTTCAACAATATAATGGCCTATAAATATTTCAAGTGGCCGGGCCACCCCAGGGCGTCCCTTAGCTATGTGTCTGCACTTAATCGTATATCCACCAAATCGATAGGTCCTGCGACTCAGTCAGTTCGCAAATTCATTCAATTCTGATGTTACCAATACTGCAAAATAAAACAAATCGTTGTATAATATATACATTTATAATTTATATACATATTCCCTTTTAGATTAATCTTTTCGGGGAAATTTTTGGAAAATAAAACCAATATAGTGTGGAACGTAATATTATAAAAAAGTTATTATAATATTATTATTATCACGTAAAGGATATAATATTATTACTAACATAGATTCACCGTTCGTTGCAGCTGGAAGCATATACATGAGTCACGGTTTCGGTGGTTATAGACCGCAGCAATGCGATCCGCGACTGCAACCGTTCCGATTTCTGGGGCCCACCGTCCGGTCAGCGGTGGCGCTCACATCGCTGTGGCTGGTCGCCTGTCTCCTGCACGCCTGTCTGCTGTATGTCTCGGCCCGGTCGCTGTTCCGAAACGGGCAGATCGCCGTGCTGGCCGCCATACTCATCTCGTTAACGTTGCTCACGCTGCTCGCCACCGCCGTTCTGGTGCATATCGACTGCAAGTACGACCCCGATTGACCCGGGCCTGAGGCCCACGCGCCTATGGCTTCAGTCAGCGTGATCGGGCCTAGCCATCTATCGACGGACAGAGCCACCAAAGTGGCGTGGGTCATATAATATATTGAATGTACGTATACTACTGCAAGCGCGTGTTACTCACTAGGATCAGGGCCAGCAATAAAGGATGGTGAAGGGAGGAGGTCGCATACCCCCCACATGAATGACCTATTTATATAGTCGGAAATCATCAACAAATTAAGTAATATTTTTGTTGTAGAATTTTGTTTTAAAAAGTAGTCGGCAAATTTGTATATTTACAACCCATCCTCTCCCGCCATCAATATTTGCTAACGACAACCCTGACTAAGATAACGTCCTTTCAACTTGAAAAAGTTCCCTTAGCTCTTAAACGAGTATGCGAAAACGATTTGCTATGCTCGTTACACCCGTCAGTGTTATCGTTCAAATAATATAAAAATAATGATGTTTCATACAAATTACTAACGTTTTTATAATTTGGTATTTTTTCAAAGATTGCATAAACGATCAAATTTAAAAATATCGTTAATTCTTTACTTTTTTTTCCAACAACATTACAACATTAAAAATACTCTCCGGAGATTGAAAAATATTTTACCGAAATTGATAAATAATATTCCTGATCAATTGTAATAACGATTGTTTTTACAATTATGTGTTTTTTTTGTTGTTTTTTTAGTACGCCTGTGATCACTTTGTTGGACAAATATTGAACGAGGGTCCCAAAGTTCTAACTATGGATCGAAAATTGAACGCAGATGACACTTTTAGAAAAAGTTTTTGTGAAATATAAAGATTATATTTCAGAAATTTTTGGAAAATTTTTTAAAAAAAGTGGTAATTGTTGTTTAAAACAGAATCAATATTGCTTATTGTTTTGAAATAAAAAAAGAATAATAAACATATAGAAACTTAAAACACTCCCCAATTATTTATTTAGAAAGTATAATTTACATATTGTACTATATAATTTTAAACATGTTAACCATTTATATTTTAATTATAGAATTATGAAACTTGTGAAAATTGGTTGACAATATTCTTGTTATTGTTTTCAGGATTAATTTAAAATATCATGAGTAAAAGATTTATACTTATCAAAAATATTAGTATACTCTAAAATAATAGTCAATTTTGTTACAAGGTTATTTGTAAATAGTTGTGTTGTATTTAAATTATTATAAAATTAAGATATTTTACTTGACATTTTAAAGGAATTACATAAGTAATAGAACAATACATATAATCTAAATTTAAAATATTTCAGTAATATAACCACCGAAAGTTTGTAAAACTAATCGAACTTTGTCGATGATAATAATAATAGTTATGTACTTTAGACCATTGAATTTCACCGTGATAGTAAAGCGAAAAGTGTGTCCAACACACATGTCACCATATAATTTGTACTTTTTTAGTTTTTTAGGGAAACGAAGTTTTCAGTAAATATATTTTGTGGCTGTAAAAAATCTAAAAAAGTTTTGTATAGCAATTCTACAAATTGAAAATTGAACGCATACATTACAGACTGTACTTATAACACTTTTTTTTTAAATTCAAATACAGTTTTTGCGTAATCATTTATGAAAATAACATTCCAATATTATGTGCAGAGAATAACGAAAAACAAATGTTTTATATTAAATAATTTACTTATTAAGTAGCTTTTTAACACAGCCAATAAAATTAATTAATTTTTTCTTGAAATCAAGTTTTTTTTTCCGTATAATATTTCTTATAAAATATTTGATAACAAAAAAGTTTATTTTTCTTAAGAGTTTTACGTTTAAAAATGTTTTATTCAAAACAATAATTTTAAAACTTTTTACGCTTTCCTACTTTTTGATTAATAGTATAATTCTGTAAATATTTGAGAACTTAATTTATTTATTGTTCAATATATAAATAATTTCTTAGAATGTAAAATAAATGTGATAAATAAAAGTTTTTAACACAATTTCATTGTTATGTAATAAATATAATTTACACATTGATTAATAGGACGTGTAAAAACTATTGATTAAGTTGAAAAGGAAACTTAAATAATATTTTTTCATGATCAATAAATCATTGTGTAATTAATACGTAACAAAATAATGTGCAGAAAAATATTAATTTAATTTTTGATTTTTATTTAAACCTTTGAGTCCCAGAAATATATAAATATAATATATTAAAAAATTATTTAGTCTAAGTACCTGGTAAATTAATAATTCATGAACGATAAAAATTTTATTCAATAATTTTAGTTTTTTTTTTTTTCATAAGAAGCCATTATTAAAACACACAGTATATTTTGTTTTTGTTTATGACAATTTATAATTTGTTAAAGAATTTTGATTCTCTGAATTCTTGAAACAGTATATACATTATACATTTAAATACACCAAAATATACATATTTTATAATTTTTGTATAACCATAACAAATAACCAACTTAATTAGTCATCACTACTATTGTATATATTCTATTACCATCATGTTAATACCGTTAAAAATTATGATTCTGTATATATCTGTAGATTTAAATAGCCCTCATGGGCTAAGAATGTCTTATTTTAATTAAATTAAAAAAATAATTTTTCAATGATAGTTAAAAGTATGGCTAGATAGCGATAGCTAATTATTATTTTAATTTTTTAATATATATGTACATATATTTGATTGAAATAATTTTATCGTTTTTAAATCTATTTATTTAAAAGCAACAACTTTACAAAATTGACAGATTACTTCAGATATTTTAAAGTTCTATAAGAGTTTTTTTTTTAACAAACTAAAATAAAGAGAGACCTTTACAGGTCACTTATTGTTTTGAATAGACACTTAGACATTTTTTAAAATTAACCCCACAGCAAAGTTTTGAAAAACTGTAAGTACTCTACATCACTATCTTAAGTTATCTAGTTACAATTTCTTTTATACTTTTAAAGTCCTCAGAAAAATATATTTATATCTTTGAATCCTTCTGAAATAATATTTAAACATATTTTTATTTAAAAAAAATAAATTATATTAAAACTAAATACCTCTAATACGAATGTCTAAGTATCTACGTAGAATATGTTACTTACAAATGATACAAATTCATCACAGTTTTCTGTATTATAATATCATATTGAAAATTCATTTAACTACCTATTACAACAATTACAACACTTATAAAAAAAAATTCAAACAATCCAATCAGTAAATAAATATTACGCGTTATTTTCCGTAGTCAGATGATGAAAGTGCAAAAAACATTTTTAATTATATTTATATTCACAATGAGAAAAAAACTATGATAAATAGGCACAAAATTGCATGTTATTATTTGGATGTAGTTGATATTACTCAGAATTAAAAAAACAATAGTTATATCTCACACTTTTATAGTATCTTTAACTTAATAAAAAATAAAAATAAAACGCTATTAACATCACTTTTTATACTATAAAAGATAATGTTTGTTGAATTATGATGATTGTGTTATCTATAAAATAAACAAATGAATAACAATCACAGATAATAAATAACGTTCTACTACTTGAGCTTTCGTAATTTATTGTAACATACGATTTAATAAAAATAAGTTGAAAATCTTGGGACTTACTGAACAGCACGTATTCAACTAAATTAAATTGAAATTTACTATGTTTAAAGGTTAAAATTCTCATAATATGTTTAGTGTATACATATAGATTTACTCAAACGTATACTAGTTGAAATTTACTTACTTTTTCGGGTGAGTTAACTCTGCCTATATCCTTTAGATTTAAATGTATACAGATTTACTAGATGAAATTTACTCACTTTAAACAATAAATTGAATTCTTCTATAGATGTCATGTGTACTAAGCTGTATAAATTACCACGCTTTTTAGTGTACACTTTTTAGTTTACACGTGAAAACCGTATCTAAAGGAAAGATTTTGAGTTACAAGCCACGCTTATAAAAAGTTGACAACCAATAAAGCAGTATATGATTTTACTGCGTTTTATTTGTTCAGGATTTTAAAGGAAATTGGGTTCATCATAAATCAAGTCAAATCAAATCAATCAAACATTTTAAACCATTTAATAAGTAAAAAAACGTACATAAAAGTGTCTTATGTTTCAGTAATATTCATCATTATTTAAAAACTATGTCATGTATGCATGGAACCCCGTACGACCTTCGATAAATTGAAATCAATTTCTTGATTTAAACATCAAACCGTTATGACAGAAATCACATTATTGAAAATAGAAATCAAAATCTAATTAATCATATTAAAAGTCGGTAGTTGAACGCAATATACATGAATTATATTAGTGTTCGAATTAATATGATTTCGATTTATCCATATATGTACCATCCAAGATAATACGGTTTAGAAAATTAATGCAACAATGTTATTTTTAATTTCAGTTGATAAAACCACTGCAATTTCATATATCCAACAAATTAACCCTTTAAGTACTGAAATCAAGATGAATTGCTTACACATAATACTCGTAAATACTAGTTGTTTGATTACGGTTTACAAGTAATTAATACCTTGTCTTTGGACACAGTATCATTGGTCAAAAAAACTTCTGCTATATACATATAATCTATATTAAAATTTTCAAAGAAGATTTTATCAATCAGAAAATTAACATTTAATTTTAATGTAGTAAATAACTTATAATCCTCATATTATTTTATACATGTAAGCCTCAGCCTGCAAGCCAAATTAAAACTTAAGAAAAGATAACGTTTTAAGAAACCTGTAACAAAATGGCCGATTGATAGATGACTTAATATTAGAACATTGGTTCAAATTTTGTTCTTAATATATCATTTTTATTGGAAATAACTTTGGTGATTCCCATTGTAGCCCACTATCACCCAAAAGGATATTTCAAACATAAGACGGATCGAAAGTTGCTTTTAAAATTATATTAAAATATATATATATATAAGTAGATCTACTACTACTACTACTTAGAATTTATAGTAATCAATCGTTTTGTAAATAAAAAATAAAACGTATATTTTCTATGAAAAAATATATTCTCATAAAATTATAAATTTAATTACATTATTATTAAATAAAATTGAAGAATTAAAAGGAAAAATATCGTTTTTATAACAATTCTGTTTTATTTGTAAGAACAAGTAATTATATAAATATGATTAACGCAAAAATGAGTATTTACTATAATAAAAGGTATGTATATTATTTAAATTATATATATCATTGTATATTATACTTTATTCGTATAATATCACAAAATATTAAAATAAACCAAAATGCATGCAACTATACAAGGTTTATTACTTATAACCGAAATTTAATTTAATTATGTTAAAGAAAGTACAGCTTTTTAACAGGTATTTATGTTTCTGAAAAAACGAAATTTATACCTTGTATTAGAGCAAAAAATTAAATATTCAAATTTCAATATGATAAAATATCAATTATATCATAAACGACGAAGAATAAACTTAAAGCCAAATAATTTACTTCCTTTAGCCACATTATGAGTATTTATACAACATAAATATGAATTTAAATAAACATTTAGTTTATGACATTAAAAGTATTACATTTTACTATTGTTTTTCAATAAAAAATCAGAAAGCTGTTATAATATTCTTATGTAATTCTATTGGGTACTGCTGACTATGAATAAAGAATTTCGTTCCTTTCCATTTTATTGTTCAATATTGATATATTTATTTACCTTAAAATAAAACTACAATCTACTTATCTACAGTCACCGATCACATAGATAAGACATACAATGTATTACTCCAACCGTTCAATGTTTCATAAAGAGTCCAACAATACTTCTAGTATATTTCTAGTATATAAGGTAAGAACATTTTAAATTGATAAAAACCTTTATTTGATATAACTATAAATGGTCAAATAATGATGTATCTGCATGAATGAAAAAATCTATAGAATGTTATAAAATAATATTTTTCACTGATCCATAATTTAAAAATTTATAAAAAAAAAATATATTTATCTTTTCTGATCCTATGTATTTGATACGAGATAATTGTTAGAAAATAATTAATATACTAACAATTTTAAATTATTAAATATTTTTATTTTCAACATCAAACTTTCAACCTAAGAATCGTGCTTTATTTAAAATTTTGATCGTTCAAGGTCTTATGATATATATTTTTTGTACCATGATTGCACGTATTCACATAAAATAATAATGTTATGTTTACTTATTAAAGCATTTTTTAGCATCATTCATACTACAATACAAACAAATATAGACAAATGTAATTCGTCTAACAATTTTAGAACCTGGGTTTTAATTACGTTCAGACAAAAACTAATTCTACTACATTTACTTTATTTAAAGATATTACTGAGAATGAAATATTAACTATAACATCTTAGTTTTGAGAAACAAAAAAAAATCAATTTTAATTTTTTATCTAAACGGGTTTTTTCTATTACTTGAACAAAGTGTAATCAAATTAATAATGGTTTCAGTGCTTATATGATTCAAATTAAACGAAATATTTTCTAATTATTTTAAGTCATAACATAAATAATACCTATGATTATCATATGGTATTAAAAATATTAAATTATAGTTGACTAAATCTGACTTATTCTTATTTGTCCTTATATTAGGTCTATTACTACCATATTTATTCCATCAGTCTTTATTATTCTCGTTCTCTAATTGCACATTTTCCTGAAAAAATTGTTATGTATATATATATATATATATACATGTCGTTTTTCACTACATCCTTCCATCTGGTTCGGAGCCTTCCTTTAAGATTTTTTCCCTATAATATATCTTCTTAATATTTTTAAACCTGATTTGAAAATTTTAAACTACTATACATGTACACCTCTGATATCGAATATAAATCTAGGTTTGACATAATTTCAATTGAGATTAAATCATAACCTCAGTATAAAACTACATTCAAGCCTCGTGATAATTTAATAATCGAATAAACAAGTTACTAACTGGCACAGGCCAACTTAAATTCTAATGTTTTTTGCCAAATTATTATAATAATAAAGTTAAGTAAAATTACCCATATCAATAATTTTAAAACCACTAAGCAAATTAAAAAATAGTATTATCACTTAACAATGTCCAACCTATGTTAGCCAAAATTACGTTCGATAAAATATTGACTAGGCAGCACGGTTATATTACTATGCAGACACGCAGTACGCGTCGACCTGGTAACCCACACTTTGTAACATACAAATTATATAATTGGTTGAAAATTAATTCGAATGTGTGTAAATACAATTATATTTACTCTTAGTACTTATATAGGTACATGAGAAAATATATTTTCATAATAAAGGATTATATGGTAGTTATGATAAACGACGGCGTCGTCATTTCAGGAAAAATATAAATAGTAATGTCTGGTATATAAGGTTAGAATATAATAATTGTTATTCAAGATCAACAAAAAAAATTTAACTACAAAGTATTTGCTGTAATGTGCAACCAAAGGCAAATTAAAAAGAAAAAAAAACTACAAAATATAGGACACAATACCACAATATCACATATAAAATTAAATACAAAATTTGAATTTTAAAACGTCAAGCGTGTACAGAAAAAAAAATTATAGAATAGGGAAAACTTAAAGAATGTGGCTGTAAAAAGCATTAATAAACGAAAATAACGAATTCTAAAATGAAAATCGTTACCTACCCTTGTATTATCAAAATATTGATTATTTTATCAGGCCATTTAATTCGGTAAATAATATTGAAAGGAATATAATTTGTTGACAGTTATTTCAATATATTTATTGACGTTATATGATTGTTAAAAACTAGTGTACCATAAACTTCAAGGTTTTCTTTTTTTTTTTTTTTTTGAGGCATAATATATAAAATAGAATTTCAAAAGTTAAAAAAAAAAGTATTTCAATTGACAGACAATTTAAAATTTTTGAAGCTCTGTTCCTTGAATTATTAAAATATATATATACCTATTGTCATAGATATAATTCGCTTTTCTGAAAATGTTATACTTCAATTGATTATAAGTCAAAGTTTTCTACGTAATCCATAAAACGAGAGGTGTAGTGTTGTATTTAAAAGATTGTAGAAAATGTTACGTGAAAAAATAAAAAACTAAGAAAACTAAGAACCTAGGTAGTACTTATAAAATACTAGATAGGTAAATTTTATTATTACCCACGTGGTCATTAGGCCACGTGATCTAATAAGTAATTATAGCTCATTGTATTCATTTTAGCAGTTCGGCCATTTACGTCTTATGATGTATTAACGTATCCACTACACAAGGTTTATAGATAAATTGGTACCTTGACTATCCACTTGTAAATTATATAGATTACAGATACAGCTTACACATGTTTATTATTCAATAATTGTTATCAACAGAATTACAATCATATGATTCGAACATCAGGTTGTCCTTATCAATGTTTAAAATCTCGAAATTCTTACGATGTCGTTAGAATAATGTTTGACTTTGAATGTCAAATGTGTTAAACTAAACAAAAACTTCACAGGGTCAAATCCTCTAAATGGTAAGTATTTATACGCAATCGCATTATTCAATGGGTACAGTTTTTTTCCTGTAGTTCCATATTAGGTAATTATTTCTTTACAGTTGATTATTTTGTTGAAAATTATTTTTTCTATCTAATCTCGTGGTTTGAACTATTGGTTATAATAATAATAATAATATTGCATCGCAATTTCTTAACACTTGTATTTTTAATTAAATAAATGTTCGGTAGCAGCAGTTTCGAGTAGTTAAATCTGCAGTGACGTGTCTAATGATATTAGGAGTATTTTACCAGATCAGCCATGGTGTTTACACAAGTGGTAGCCATCAAAGAAAAAGCACCTGGATCCAAAGTATACAATTATGCTGATTCGTTCTGGTGTACATATATTGTATCTGTGGCCGCTGCCAGTGTTGCAGAAATGTGTAAGTATTTTTTGGTCACAGAATATCTGATTTTTATACTAACACATTTTTGTATAAGTATTTGATTTTATTTATTTTTCTTTCCAGTAACATACCCATTAGATTTAACTAAGACCCGTCTTCAAATTCAAGGTGAAAAAGCTACTAGTAATAAACCAACACAATACAGAGGTATGTTGAAAACAGCTATTGGCATTGTGAATGAAGAAGGAGCTTTAAAATTGTGGCAAGGTGTTACGCCTGCGCTTTATAGACATGTTGTTTATTCTGGAATCAGAATTGTTTCATATGAAACTATGCGTGATAAATTACTGTTAAAAAATGAAGATGGATCATTTCCAATTTGGTATTTACAAAAATCATTACTCAAATAGCTTAGTCTTTATTTTATATTATAACTTAATATAGGAAATCAGCCTTAAGCGGTGTCACATCTGGTGCAATAGCTCAATATTTTGCTAGTCCAGCCGACTTAATCAAAGTTCAAATACAGATGGAAGGCAAACGGCGGTTAATGGGTGAACCTCCTAGGTATAATATATTCACATTATTAAAACATCAATATACTTTAGTTGTTTTATATTAGAGTGTTAAGCGCTGCACATGCATTCAAAAAAATATTATCGGAAAGTGGTATTCGTGGTTTATGGAAAGGCTCAATACCCAATGTACAACGCGCTGCTCTTGTAAATCTTGGTGATTTAACGACTTATGATACAGCTAAACAATTAATAATGCATAAAACTGGATTACCTGATTCACACCTTCTACATTGTCTTTCTAGGTATATTTACATTGCCTTTTATCAATTGACTTTATTTATGAATATTCTTATTATTTTTTTAGTATATGTGCTGGATTAGTGGCAGCAACATTAGGAACTCCTGCAGATGTTGTAAAAACACGGGTTATGAATCAACCAACTGACAAAAATGGAATGCAAGTTTAATTTTTATAAATATATACTTAAATGAAGTACTGATTTCTATTTTTATTTGCAGTGGACTAGTATACAAAGGATCTTTGGACTGCTTTTTTAAAACAGTTGAAAATGAAGGGTTTTTTGCTTTGTACAAAGGATTTTTACCTGTTTGGATCAGAATGGCTCCCTGGTCGTTAACTTTTTGGATGAGCTTTGAACAAATACGTCATATGCTTGGTGCTACTGGGTTTTAGACATTACAGTGTATATTCATTAGATCTCATTTTTATTGTGTTTTTCTTCTTTTACTGTAGTTAAATAATGTACTAAATGTTTAAGGCCAAACTATTTATTTAAAACTTTATCCGTACATCATTTTATAGATCGTTATTAGCATAAAAATACTATGTACAATATTTCTTCTTTCAAATAATTGACTTCTTGAAAAGCAAAATGTATTATATGGTTGAAAAATATTGTTTACAGAACAGAATTAACATTTTCCAGTAACTATCTCTTTCGATATGCAATATAATGATTTTTGTGTTGCTCTTCCAATGTGATTGTTTAAATTAATTCACTTATTATCAGACTAGATAAAGATAACTTGTACTAACAGTGTTCTAGCATTAAATAATGTATAAGTTATATTTCCGTGAACGAATTTCATTTAAAACTCCCATCATTATTAGTGTTATGTATTTTCAAAATGTGTTTTGAAATATATTATAATCAACTAGCTGATATGAATGTCAAATTTGGAAATTTACCAATTATTTTATTATGTGAATCTCAAATTTATCTGTCAATTGAAATTAATTGTAATATTTTGTAAATGTTAATCAAATTTCAACATTTCTATGTATTTGCATATTATACAACCTATGATGCCAATCAAATTAAACACAGTAAAACTTGTTTAAGACTCTTTCCTTGGGATTAGTTGAAAATTGTGACAAAAAAAAAATGTATATTGCAAAGTGAATTTTTACATTTATATTACGTTTTATATTACATTATTCACTTCAAAAAATTGTTGATTTTTGTTTGTTTCTCATTTTTTAAGTTTTTAAAATAAGGGAATTTCTCAATTTTATTGATTTTATGTAACATTTTGTAAGGATTGTCAAAAGATGCAATTAATCTTCTTAGCTCATTACATGATTAATTGCATTTATTACTGGGTAAATCAGTGTTGTATCATCTTCCTTGTTTTCTTTCTCTATAGAAATCGCACCAGTCGATAGATAATCTGTAATTATCTGGTAAATGTTTTAGTATTATTCATAGTAACATCCTCATAAATTTCTTCATATCTTAGAAACTACTCTAATTCTTGAAAATCTTCCCTGCTTTCATTATTATAAGTGTGGTATTTCTTTAAATTTTGTATTTTTATATTAATATAATTGACAATGAGAGCATCTTATCTGGGAAATAGAGTGTATTATTTGGAGTTAAATAAAAGTTAAATATTGTCAAAATCAAGAGACTGGTAAAAATGAACATGTTAGGCAAAAAATAGTTTTAAACTGGTTCTACTATATTTATTTCTGATACAAATAATCATGTTTTGTTCTGGAATGTTATATTTAAAAAACTAACTGATTAAATTATACTATTTTTACCACTTTAAATGATAGTTTTAAACTATTTATAAAAGTATTAGATATTAGTTATAAGTTAGTACCATCAGTTGAAAAATTAGGATTATAAATTTGTTATGTTTTAAAATTACCATTAAAAATAATTATGTACTTAATATGAATTCATAATATTGAACTGTTGTAAATTAATAAAATTCTCTAAATTACAATAAGTTCCTGAGTTTATTCAATTAAATCCAAAATACATATATTGAATATTCCCTTCAATATCTCATGCTAAATTTGATTAATTTTCAATAAAAGAATTATGTAAAAATAAACTAGGCCTCTTTGTTGTAAAACAATACCTTAGAACTTAAATATAATTCGTTATTAACATAAATTTAACATTTAAAATATTTTTTAAAAAAAAAAATATTTTACTTTTAGAATGGAAGTTTTTAAATTAAAGATACTGATGTAATGACTGAAAAATATAGGTGATAAAAAAACTGTAAATGGACATTACTATGTTAGAAATAATACTATTCCTTAAATCTAATTTAATATCCAATAATTGTATGTATTTTAATTGTATTTAATGGTTAATCTAGTGAGCCATAGTGAGATTTCAATAGTTATATCTAAGTTTCCGTGAAAATAAAAATAGCACATCTTGTAATAAAATAAAAACCAGGGTAAATATTAATTTTGAAAGTTAAAAAAAATACGTGATATGTCTTTTATGTCTTATTATATGTTTATTATAAAAAAAAATCAATAATTAAAATTTGAAGATAAGATTATTTCTTTTGAATAATAAAAATGTAAATCAATTTTATTAAAAATGAACGTACCAGATACATTATTATAAAAATATTTGGTACTTATAATTTTTTTGTTAAATTATAAAAATTCATAAAGTTTTTTAGTCATGAAAAACCCATCTTAATAAGAACATTACATTTTTCATCAAAAAAAAAAAACGTATTAAAATTGAGCTGATACAGGAAATGGGTTAAATACATTATAAGGGATATACAGAATTTGAGCAGGTGCATGGTTTATATTTTTAAAGCAATGACCAATAATTATTATTGCAATTAAAAAACTAATCTAAGCAAAAGTCAGCATAATATAATTTCAGATTATTGATTTTATGCGAATATACGGAAAAATATTTATTGTATTAAAACAAAAAAATTTTACAATTTGTCAACAAGGGCATTTAAATAAAAAATTTCATATAAAGAAACTATCGATGAATTTGCTAATTATAAAGCGAGAAAAGTAAATTTTCAAAGTTTATAATTAACACTGTAATAATAACTTATTAATATAAATTATATACTTAAAAATTACTAAAATTAAAGGTTAAAAAAAAATATCTTAATGTTAAATTTTAATTGGTTAAAAAGCGTTTTCTGTTGTACAATTTGCCAGGTGTGCTAGCGAATCTTTCTACACCACTGTAAATGAGTGATAAGAAAAATTACAGAAAAACAAATTAAAATATTACAATTGAAGGCGAACAAACGCGTATGATGATGTATATATTTTTATGTTTTATCAGTATCAGTATCAATAATCAGTGGTAAAATAACGTTCAATGTTGAATGTAATAAATTGGGCTTTTTGTTGGGTCCATACTGAGTTTAAAAGAGATGGTTGGATACGATTGAAAATGATACAAGGGCTGTTGATGTATGGATAGGGGATATAGAAATCGAGAAAAGTGGAGATTTAGGACAAGGGTGACCAATAAATTAACTTATATTTTAGAAAAATTTAAAATCTCCCCCTTCAAAGCATTTGAAAATACGCCACTATTTACATATATTTATATATATATCAATCATAATTTTTGATGATAGTAATTAGGTTTTGAGACTGTTACATTTGCATCTATTTAATAATGATTGTAGAATAATCCAAGTAAAATAAAAATTAGTTTTAAAACATAAAGAACTAAAATAGGAAAATTGAAATCGTATATTTTTGTATATTTTGTCGTTTTGTAAGCAAAATGCATATTAAACAAATTTTATAAATGTAATTGTTATTTAAAGCATATTTTTATGTTTTATGTGCAGAAAATTTATTCTATAGTTTAAAATGTTTTATAATACTAAACCTTTTTTTTTATTGTAGGAGAAAAAGACGAAGAAAATTAATTTATACAGAGTACCTAATATTATAGTTTTAGACTAATAAAGTTATTATTATAGAAAAATAATAAATAAAAAAAATAGTATGTATTCAAAATGTAATAAATCAAATAAAAATAAATAAATGTCAACTGCCATTATAAGAATATTCAGTTGCATATTTCGGTTATTTGAAATGCATACTTCCTATAATTAGTGTGCAATATATCCTGATTCTTATTAATAACAATAACCAATATAAATAATAAAATAGAAAGTACTTACTAGTATGTTTTCTTATCTACAAGAGTAACAAAGGTAATAATAAAATAACAAAAGTACGCTCTGAAATCGAAAACTGCAATTGTGACCACTGAATTGAGTAACCACATCAGAATATAATTAAAGCAGTTCAATTAAAACTACAAATAGTACAGATAGATTTCCTTTCAAACGTGTAATCAAAGATGTGCAATATTTTAAAATCGGGACGTTTAGTTCCATACTATAGTCTATATTGTAAAAATGTCTGCTTGATTAAAAGTCTACTGGTGAATCTAAATTTACATTTTCATAATAGCTAACAATGAAACATGTTCCTTCAAATATCATTAATCCGTAAGGCACAATGCCCCCCATCCAGTGCCTAATTGATCAATTGGTTTCAATGTTTCAACACATTGTGACTAGAGAGCCTATGTTCCTCTTGTCTCTTATTTTATTAGACATTGATGTAGGTAACCGGACTTTTGTAGTGGAGTAGCTAACTATAATGTACGTATCTTAATAAAATATAAATATTGTTAAAAATTGTTCTTTATTTCCCTATACATTATTTTTTTTTTTTTTTTTTTGGTTATTTAGGTATATTATAAATTATTCACTTATTTCCCTTAAAGAAAATTACTGAAAAATTGAGAAATAAAAGAACTTTTTTCCGAAAACGTCCATTGTATTAATTATTATGAGTATTAACATACAGTGTAACAATTTTTTTTTTTTTTTTAATAAAAAATATTATTATCATTCTAAATTAAATTCCTGGGGAGACGATAAATCTATCATTTGTTACATGAATTAAAACATTGTTCATACGCTATTGTTTAATAAGAGATTAAAACATTTCAATTGATGTGTGTTAATTATTGCAACAACAAAAAAGATCAATATACCTTAATATTTAAGCATTTTAATATAATGAAAACAACAATATTATCGTATAAAAACTGCCGAGTAGAGTTGAAAGCAAAATCAATACGATACGAAGTATCGCAGGTCGCTCAACCGCGCATCGGCGTCCTCATAAGTACTGCAATATTTTGTTTAAATTTATAACGTCGATTAATTTTATAAAACTAATATTTTTTATAATAACCAACATCTCTTCCGCTTTTTATACCCAATAATTAATATTATATTATATATCTACATATACCGACTCACCTACTTATAATATTGTATGTTAATATAGTTATTATTAAGTTATAAATTACAATCAAATATTTTGATATTATAGATAAGCTTATTTCATTTCTAACTGCTAACTTTTC